ATTCTCCAAATCAACTTGATTTACCGATAAAATTGTTTACACCATCTGAAGTAGCTAAAGTAATAAAAGACGATTTAAACGGCAAAAAAGCCCCCGGTTATGATCTGATAACAGGTAAAGTGTTGAAAGAGCTGCCTAGAAAAGGAGTAGTATTCCTTACAGTACTTTTCAATGCAGTTTTACGCCTCGAATACTTCCTAATACAGTGAAAGGTTTCACAAATTGTTGTTATTCCGAAACCTGGTAAACCTTTAAATCAAGCATCCTCGTATCGGCCTACTGTATATCTCTTCTTCCCGTGGTTTCAAAAGTTTTTGAAAAACCTTTTTGAAAAGACTCCAAATTATAATTGATGAAAAAGAATTGTTGCCTTCCCATCAGTTTGGATTCCGCCGAAAGCATTCCACCATTGAGCAAGTGCATCGAATAGTGAATGTAATCAAGAAAGATCTTGAAAATAAACATTTTTGTTCATCTGCTTTTTTGGACGTAGCCCAGGCGTTTGATAAAGTCTGGCACACATGATTATTGTTCAAAATTAAAACTTTGCTGCCCCATACACACTATGGAGTGTTGAAATCAATGAAATCGTATTTGTCCAAACGCTTTTTTTTTCAAATTAAATATCAAGATGTAGTTACAGATGTGCATGAAATTGAATCAGGTGTACCACAAGGCAGTGTTCTTGGACCTATTTTGTACATTTTGTTCACTTATGACCTTCCAAGTACTCAGGGTATTACGGTTGCAACATTTGCAGACGACACTGCTTTTTTATCATCAAATCAGGATCCTATTCTGGCATCATCAAACCTTATTCAGGCTGCATTAGACGATTTGTCTCAGTGGCTACAGAATTGGAAAATTAAAGTAAATGAAACAAAATCCGTTCAAGTTACATTTACTATGTCTACAAGAACTTGCCCCCCATTAACATTGAATAATGTCATGCTTCCACAATCCAACGAAGTTAAGTACCTTGGTATGCATCTCGACAGATGGCTTACATGGCATTCACACATTTGGAACAAAACGACTTCATTTAAATTTAAAAACAAACAAACTAAATTGGCTTATTGGTCGAAATTCAAATTTATTTGTTGAAAATAAATTACTTTTATACAAAATGATATTGAAACATATTTGGTCCTAACTTACGGTATCCAACTCTGGGGAACCACTTCAAACTCGAACATAGAAATAGTTCAACGATTTCAACCCAAAACACTAAGGAAAATTTTACAAGCACCTTGGTTTGTCACAAATAAAGTTATCCATCAAGATACAAAATTACCCTATGCTAGAGAAGAAATAAAAAAACGAAGTGATAAATATCAAAGAAAATTAGAAATCCATCCAAATTTCCTGGCAGTTAACCTCCTCGATAATAGTGGAGCTACATAGGCTCAAAAGAGTTAATCCAATAGTTCTTCCAAATCGTTTTTAGTTAAACTTTTTATCGTGGTAACAGAACAACCCTTTTTCCATTCAAGGCTATGGTGTCTTATGTGGTACTTGGATTTAAGAACGGCCCTGCTGCTTCTTTTGCCTTTTCATTATTTGCTTTAATTAGTTCAATTGCTTTATTTTTCCGATCCCAAAAAAATGATGTTGTGTCACATCCAGACACAACAAGTGCAAAGTTGGTTAGGAAACAAGCTTACACCCACAATTGGGGTTGGATAAAAGAACAATTCCAAAAACTCTATCTAACAAATCAAAAATACCCCCGCCGCAGCAAACCTGCCGACTAAGCAAATTTCCATTTGTGTGAACTGATTTTCAATAAAATCTATTTAAATAACATTAGGTTTAACGAGTACCTAGGTTTGCTACTACAAGGAAACTAATAAAGCGTGTTTTTTTAGTAAAATATTAATAGCTTAGTATAAAATAATAAATTGGACAAATTTGATCCAAGATATCAATAAACAAGCAAACTATATTATTTTACAATATTCTCCATAAGAATAACATGGGAATTTTAAATTTTACAATTTTTGGAAGTTTCTCCGTTACCGATAACCGTACAAAAACAATTTGATAGCTTATTCCCTATGTGGGAAATTCGCTACAATGTAAATTATTTGTTTTTTAAGCCCTTTAAAAAGGTCTAAAGAAAAATTAAGAAATTTTGTATTTTGAGGGTCAAAAATGAGAAAACCCGTTTTTTACACCATAAAAGCTCCCGTAAAACCCTGTTCCCAATGTCCGATCGTGCTGGTTCGCGAACTCATTCAAGTTTATCCCGCCTTACACCTTCAAACCAAATTTCATCAAAATCGGAAAAAAATTACTCAAGTTGTTCACGGACGTATATATATACATATATAAAAATTTGAAAGAAAGGTGTTTTTGGCCTCTGGGGACATCAAAATGAAAAAGTAAATTAGTCCCGGGCCTAGGTCTTACCATGAGACCTACGGTAATAACTACTTCTCTATAGGGAAATTCACTAAAAGACCTAGGACCCGTCATAAGTAAGAAACCTATTAAGTAAGAAACCTGATAGCCTATTCAATGGTTTCATGTTCATGCAAGAAATTATGTAAAAATTATTGTGGCTGCAGATAATCTGATTCCACATTGTAATGAGCTATCATGTTCAAATCCATTGCAATATCATGTCGACTCTGATGATTAGCAGTAAAGATCTGTTATATGACAGGTAATAATTATGCTCAATACTCTGTCGATAAGATATTGTACTGTGATTAAAAACAACCTCGTTTGATTAAATGATTCATTATTAAATTCCGAATCACTTGGTTCAAGTCCTATGCATTTACGATTTTTTTTTCGATAAAGTTATAGGAATTTGAAATTTGGTTATGAAAAAGAGTAATTTTGAGAAAAAAACTATTTCAAAAATGTTAAATACGTATAAACAGGTGTTTTGTATTTAAGAAACGATTCTGGTATCAAAAGAGTGCTTATAATGTCCTCTTTGGAGGCAAAACTAATTTTAACTCAAGGTAGTTTTCATTAAAATAATTGTTTTATTGAAGCATGTCGTAAAAATAGCATTTCAGAAAAGAGACCTCTTGTCGGCCCTATATGTTTATTTCTCCATAAGGTAAGAAAAGGTACCTATTGTCGGGACAGCAAAATTTGTGAGATATTTTGTTCCTCGAAAACTGAACTTTGTTGTAGTTCTCTAAATCCTTTACAATGCAGGACAATTCATTTTTGGACTAAAGTTTGCTTATAAAGTGAATATTAGAAATGGGACCCTTGGGACCTCTTGTCGTTATGGCGAAATAAAATTGAGCAACAAGAGGTATCTTTTCTCAGACCGTGCAGAGGCTAACAAAACGATTTATTTCGACCTTCTACATCTTCAATTCGATATTTTAATCGATACTGTCCTGTTTTATGATAAATGTGGTATAACAATCGATAGAAACCTATAATTGCGATATTTTCGACCTTAATTAAATCATCCGTACTGAGCATTTTGCATTGCCGACAAGAGGTCCTTTTTCGCTTTCCACATCACATAATAAAATGAGTCCCACGCTCCACGCATACAACAAAATGCACAATATTTATTCATAAGTATTCACAACCTTATGTATATGTACTAAATGAACTACAGAACGTTAAATATGTTCTATATAAAGTGACAAATTTAAATACAAAACATGTAAATTGTTTTCATTGTTGTGGCGCATAAAAAAGCCAGAGTCCTGTGAAATCATAATTTACTGTACAATAAGCACTATACGCGAACAAACTGTTTTTAACTATAAAATAATTATAAAGCTTAATGTACAACAACTTTTACATGAAACATTTTGTTGTGCTACCTCATACAAAATCTACAAAAAAGATGCATACAAATAATCTGAAAAAAATAATTTTTTATATGTTTATTATATTTATATTTTTATATATTTAAATTTTATTGACAGTGTAAAATGTTCTTGTAAAAGATCTGATGCTGAGTACTTAAGTCCTCGAAAGGCGTAATTCATTTGGACTATACATAAGATCACTCTGGCAGTATTCAGCTAATTTTCTATACCTTTTAACAAAATATAAATTGTTTGTTCTGTGTTATCATAGACTAACCAACACAAGTAGACTTCTCATCCCATTGTAAATTTTGAAGCACGTTTTTCGTGTCTAGTTCATGTACGTGACACAAAGGCGCTAGTGTCGACGAAACTTTGTTTCTATTATTTTAGGGTTAATTTCTTGATTTGTGCTTTACTGTTTGGTTATATAACTAGGGGACAAGTTATTGTTTATGATTAGATCGTATTATTTGGTTAAACGAGGTTTTAAATGGCTGTAATAACGGGAAACAAATTGTAAACAAAACACGACCTCTACAGAAAACCGGACAGAACTAACAATAAAATTGGCTTCAGCTGTTCCATAAGGATGGGAAATCTACTAAGGGAGTATGTTTTATCTATGGTGTTATCTAGAGACAAAACATCTCAAAATATGAATTATTGTTTTTATGCTTATGTCATTTTTGTGACGAAACTATCAATACTGTATTTAGGCTAACATGGTTACACTTTTTGTAGAAAATCTTATCGCAAAAAGGGTTAATAAAAGTTTGCATTGTTATCCTTACCCGTTTTGATGTTATCACTAATTTTCTAAGAGACTGTGAATTTATTTAAAAAGTGGGGGAGAGAGGAAAGCAATGTGGGAAGGAGTGGGGACTTTTGGGAAAATACATGGTTTAGCAGCATAGAAAAATCCAGTTTTCCAAAAATTACTTCCGAAATTTACCTTATTTATATCTTTATTGACTGGGCTAATAGGGAAAATCGCTAACACAAAACATTTAGTTTTTGGTCGTTATATAGTACACATTCGTTTATTTTACCTTTAGAATTCGATGGTGTTGGCTAGCTTTATTGTCCTGTCAGACAAGGTGACGTAGATTTTGACACTTGTCCAGTGTTATTGTTGAAAAATCCGTTAGCTTTCCGTTATTACTTAAGTCCACGCCAGCTGATACTTCGTCGTGGCCTGGCTTGTGTAGCGTCGCTGTCGTTGTCGGCGTGATCGTGTTGCCTGTTGTCTTGTGTTGTTTATGACATACCTGTCAACGTTTCAGTGTCAAAAATATTAAAATTTGCTTGATTTACTTGTTCAATAATTTGTTATTTCCAAAATACTCAATAATAATTTTCATTTAAGCTTAGGTATATATATTTTTACCAACACGTATAGGTTTTGCACCGTCCCTAGGCCAATTTATCTCGATTAGGTCTAGTAAGTGTAACTTGTCCCTTCTGTTCAGTGAACTTTTCTATCAGTTTTTAAATATCACCAGATAAATCTAATCCCTCATAATGTCTGGCCAGTGGGAAGTTGTGGGAAAGAACAAAAAAGACAAGCAGTCGGGAAAGAGTAAAAAGCTGTCCAAAGATGAAAAGAAAAAGTTTGTTGACAATGCACCGAAAGTGGAAGACCTTAGTAAGTAACCACAAGTAACTTAACGTACACCTAAATTACTAGGCTATCTCCTTAAGGCTTTAGTCTCAAGTTTACCTGAACTAACATGTGCATTCTTTGCATCGTTTTGTGTAATCTGTATGGGCTTAGGCTACTCTCATAGTTAAAAGAGCCATTAAGGTAACTTGCTTACAGAGACCATTATAAGTTCGCAGAGGATGCGTCCGGTAACAGGACGTGGATTAGGCGTCCGGCAGTTACTGTCATAACCTAACCAACCAAACTTGCTGATACCGGTAATGAAAAAAATCAAATGAAGGTTCAATTCTCTTCATAACATAAAATTATAGGCCCTAACTGTCAAAAATTCTATCAAAAGATGTACAGTTAAGAAGAAATTACATTCAATCAAAATCTGTGAATCTGTTAAAGAAACCGATGGGTTTCGAACCAGGGACCTCTTGGATATCAGCTGAGCACTCTATCCACTACACCATGAACAATGCTGGCCGAACATCGTATTGTTGTGGTAATGGGGTTCCGGGACCCCACAACCCGGTGACGTCACTAGCGGTCGCCTAATCCACGTCTGGTTACCGGACGCGTATCCTCTGTGTTATAAGTTACCATGCAAGCAGTTACAATACAGCAATAAGTTTTAGGGTTAGGCTAAATAAACAGTTTTTGTAGATGCATGGCTTGATCATAGTTTCAAGTGGTGATAGCTGTAAACTTCCCTACAACATAATTGCCATCCTCTTGACCGTTGTCCATTTCTGGATAGGTCGCGTCAGTAATGATACAAATATCATAAAACTTAAAAATAAAAATTACTTAAACATATAATTATTAATTAGGCTACACAGAGGATACGTTAAAAAAGTTACGTTAAGGTAACCGGACGTGGATTAAGTTAGGTGTCCGGCAGTTACTGTCATAACCTAACCTAACCAACCAAACTTGCTGACAATAAAAAAAATCGAATGAAGGTTAAATTCTGTTCATAAAATAAAATTATAAATGCTAAAAATTCTAAGAAAAGATGTGCAGTTAAGAAGAAAAAAAATTCAAAGCAAAATCTTTGACAAAAAGTTAAGGTTACCGATAAGATTCGAATTAGGGACCTCCTGCGTATCAGCTGAGCTCTCAATCCACTACACCACAAACACTAATGGCTGAATCGTATTGTGGTAATGTCCTTCCGGGCCCCCACAACCCCGTGACGTCACTGCCGGATGCCTAATCCACATCTGGTTACTGGACACGTATCCTCTGTGAAAAAATGATTAAAAAATGAACTGTGCATCAAAATAATCGTCTAAGGAAAATTTAAAATCTCTGTTGGCAACACCACGACTTTAGCTTCTTTACAGATCGGCAGAGAACCTATGATCTATTAACTTAACTTATTGGATAACATTTTTATTTGCAATAAATATTTATACCGTACTGTAAAGTTAAGTTAGCCCATAATAGGCTAGGCCTTTTTTAGATACCGGTAGGCTTATGTTAAATGTTGATTTTTGGTTAACGTTGTAATGGCTTTAATTCAAGAAGATGACCGCACGCCACACTCACAGTGAACAGTAGCGTATAGGTTAGGTTAACTTAGTTGGATCAGTTTAGTTTGATAGACCTATCTTAATTAGGCCCTAGGCCTAATTACAAACCAAATATCATAGTTTACGGTAACTTAAGTAAAAAAATTGACATTTTGGTTTAATTATTTAATAGCCTATGTCTAAATACCCGATACTGTTTCTTGTAATTTTTTGATGTCCACTTACAGTTCTTTTGACGCTGAATCCAAAAATGCAATCAGTTTTTGTGACCGGAGGGTTCCTAAGTGACCGTAATTAAATAATGAATATAAAGATTCAGTTTTGTTGAGTTATTCAGATTATTTTATTCTAAGTCCAAGTTCTAGTGGCGACTAACACTGAAAGGGGAGGATGTTTTGTGGAGTGGAAACAGCTGTTAGTTGTTTACATTCGATACTAAACAGGAAAACCACACACGACGACATGAGAGCAAAATCAGAATTACAATATGCAATAATTAGATTTTTTAAATCAAATGGACTTTGGTGCCGTTTACAAAATACAATAAATCAAATATGATAGCCTACATAAACTATTAATCACATCGAAATTTAAATAAAAAATAAAAAAAAGAATTTATTCTTGTAAAATACCAGTAATAAAAGCTAGGCCATTGCCTACATGATCACCCTCAATCCAACCACAGAAAACGTACTACTATAACCCAGAATGCCAACAGCATGGTAAAAAGCATTAAGCGTTTTGAGAGAGCTTTGCCTGTCAATCCGTAGGCAGCGCCACCAGCGTTGCTATGCTATTGCATTAGTTTATTCTCCTTTAATTTTTAAAATATTTTTGCGGGGCACTGAGCCGCACGGGTGTACTAGTTAAATATAATTATTAGTTTAACGAGCACTTAGGTTTACTGTAACAGGGAGGGTAAAAAGTGCTTTTTTGTCTTATGTTAATAGTTTAGTAAAATATGAATGCATTTTCCAAATTTTATCAAAATATGTTCATAAACTAGCAAACTTATCAATGCCTTCATGATCAATTTTGGTCTTTTCCGTTCTGTCTATTTGATCATATATTACGTTGGCTGTAAAATTGGACTGGACGTTAATGAGGTTTTGCTTGTCGTATTTGTGGGCGCGATTTATTTCCACTTCCTCTAACCTGTTAGCCTACATGATTTGTTGCATGTGTGCAGAACTTCTTAACAGTCTTCAACTGGTTTATAATCATGCATGGAATCCCTAATGTGTGCTGCGAAGTTGGATCTTTGAAGGCTGGGCTTGGAACCAATTGCTTTAATGTGCTCTTTGTATCTTAACTTGAATTTATACCCTTATCTACGTATTTACTACTTATAGTATTTAAAGCAAATCCTGGTCAGCCAACCACAAAGTAGGCCTACACTTATATAATAATCTTTAAAAAAAAAAAAAATTCATACATGGACACCTTATTTTGTCCAAGCTATTAGAAAAATTGCAATAGGGTATGAAATAAAACACCTATGGTCTAATAAAAAATAACCTTAATCATTTGTTGGAAGTACTACCTACTCATTTTGTCAAAGCTCTTTTTCCAAGAACAAATGGGCCGGTAGATCTTTCCACTAAGTGTTGTTCACTGCTCTCCCTTTCAACTCTAGCCAACAATCACGCAATTCGTTCTTCCATTTTATAATATCGCAAAATAAGGTCAAACACAAGGGCGTACACAGATATTAGGCTCCGGGAAACCCGTTACATCACAGAGCGCTCACGGAAGCTACTTCCAGTAGTGACACAAACCACTTCCCAAGGTCAACTGACAACTGGGAAAGGGGTAAGAGTAGCCGAAACTAATTCCGCAAAAGAGGTGCGTGAGGTACGTCAGGCGACAGCCCTGCCGAATGCAAACTATGGTTTTAATAAAGGAAAAATATAGTGACCCGTAACTTCCTAGTGAGGTAACTTCCGTGATGCACCCGATGCCGTTAACGTTAGGTTAAGACCGTTCCCCTTGTAAAAAATGTGAAAATGCCATTAGTGTCAAATCACACATAATTGGTTCATAATAGGGAATGGAATCTCAAAGTAATTTGAGCTTGGTGGTGGTGTCTCTTTTGACTTACTTATAATGATTCCATGTTTTTAGTACCATTGGCACAAGTGAAGACATTGTATTCAGCTTTGGACACCAACAAGGAACTTCCAAAACCTGTTGAAAAGGCTGTAAAAACCAAAGAAAACGAAGCAAAAAAGGCTCAAAAGAAACCTAAGGAAAAGAAAGAGCCTGTGAAAGAAAGTAGGCCACCTAAAACTATAGATGCTGCAGTCGCATTGGTAAGTAGTCATTCAAAATAAAGAAATATTAGAAACGTAAAAAATAAGAAACAACTATCGGTACGGTTTCTTTAAAACCTAAAAGAATAGTACCCTTGGTAACCACCAAGGGGGATAAAAGTAGCCTAATAGCCTATCTATTGTAAATTTTTTTAAAGAATAAATCAATAATTTTAGGAATAAGGGAAAATGAAATTTTTATTAACACGTTAACTTAGCTTCAGTGTGAGCTCAGCCACACACGGGGAACATTGTTTCCGATTGCCGCTTATTGTGCCAGTGTTTTACTTCAATTGAGTATAATTTGTTTTCATATACAAAAGTGGAAGGGATTGTTCCAAATTTAGTGTAGTGTGGGGTTATGGCTTGGATATAGTGAAATGAAATAGAATATAATGATAACAATAACTACAGTGAAGCATTGTGGAAGGAACCTGACCTAAAAATTGTGCTTGACGCCTTTTTGATGTTTTTGTTGATGGTGTATCTAGATTTTTCGTAACCTACTTTTTCTAATACTAAGAGCCTGCTGTTTAATGCTGCTGTCTGTTGAGTTCTTGTAAAACTATGTCCACAACGACTGAAACACAGTATCACGTTATAATATGCCTCTCCTATTGGATGAAGCTAAATTTAAACATTTTGACACACTCATCTAAGAAGCGCTTTGGCTGCTCCCATCACCAGCGCCGCCAGGCATCGCACAACCGCAGCAAAAATGTTAAGACTTAAAATTAATTGTAATTTAGATGGTATAACAAAATCTTGTGATATGTCTTAAGTGTGTCCTGGTCAGCCAACCACAAAGTAGGCATACACTTATAATAATCTTATATATATAAAAAAAAACATTTTATATATCCATTTAATAATAATAATAATTATAAGGTTAAGAATAAGTCTAGCAATTGTTTTGCTAACTTATTAAGGAAAGACTATGACAAGCATATTAATTTGTTTTTGGGTCTTTGCATTCTACTTTTACGCATTGCTCAATTTGTATAAAATAAGGTGCCGGGTGATTTGTGCTATTAATTGTGATTTGTACCAATATTTTTATCTTTCCGAAAGAGGTATCAGAACTCCGTTTCTGCACTGCTTTTCGTATTTGCTTACTTAAACCACACTAATAATCGGGTCTTCAGGGTTCAACCACGTCACAAACTTAAACTTATAACATGAAGCTAACCGTTTTGGACTCGTTGCAGGAAGCCATCATTGGAGGAGGCTTCTGTAGATGAGACAATGAGGCTGAAATGTTATAAGTTTATGTTTGTGAAGCAGTTGAACCTTGAAGATAAAATTTGTAGTGTTTGTGTTAGTGACCCAGGCAATCTTAGCTCAAATATGCTATTTGCGTACCGGATACCTGTTCTTTGTGAATTTAATTATGACTTGTTTACCTCGGTATAGGTTAATACAAGAACAAGAAGTATTTTAATTTTGACCATGGCCACTGTATAAAGGTCCCATACAGTTTGACGTTGGAATTAAGAATCTAGGTTTTTGGTGAATTTCCCATATAGGAAACCAGCTATTACCGTAGGTCTTGTGGTAAGATCTGGTACCAGGACCGATTTACTTGTTTGTTTCATGAAGTTCCCATAAGGGTCATTCTCCACTAAACGCAAAAACTAAGTATCCCTGTGAAAAAAAAAAATTATATAGAAGACTTTGATTTTCATATTTACAAAATATCTTTAATTAAATTTGTTTTATAGCATACATATGCTATTTTTTCAATAATTTGAAAAATTATCATAGATTTCTTGTTCACAGACTATGACAAGTCATGTCCGTGGACTGTCACCTACCATGTTTCTAACAGTTAGCAAGTGAATAAAAAATAAAAAAAGATGTTTTTTTCTTATGGAAATAATTATATTGCAATAATTAACTGTTAGTAATCGTCTCACCCCCTTAAATTTATTTTTAATTAAATAATTTTTATCAAAATTTCTATAAAACTCTTGTCACTAAAATTGTCATCATGTCTGTGGACAATTGAATTTTAGTCTCTAAATGACTTTTCTAGTAGTGGAACTTGACTAATGCAGTACTTGTACAAGAAGAGGGATAGCCATCTTGGATATATTCAGTTCTTTGAGTTGTGCTGTGAAGAAATTTGTGTTGTTTTGCTTGTTGTTGTGAGAAAAGGAGGCAACGTTAAGATCATCTCATCAGATCTGTGGTCAGTATTACTGTAAACACAATTGTACTGTTATTGTGTTTTTATTTTTGTACTATCCTATTACAGGTGTTCAAACCAAAACAGTCATTTTATTAAGATAACCTAAAAGGTTTTGGGTGTAGACAATCATTCTCATGCTTGGCATCATTTCCGTGGACATCATGTCCGTGGACTACGATGTCCACGGACATGATGAAAATGTCCACGGACATTATTTTAAAAGGAAAGTCAATAAATAATAACATTTTAACTTTTTTTATGTAGGTTCCCTTAATTATTTATCACCCAAACATATATTAATGCCAGAAAGTTTAAATTACACATTTAATTTCTGTCACAATTTATAGAATAACTTAAAAGAAATTTTATTACAATTTTTACAAAGAAAATTTAACTAGGCCTACTTAAGCCAATTTGGTTGCCTTAACTTAGTCATTAATTACACTTAGTACACAATTTATATTTTATGTTTATTAATATTTTAAAATACAAAATTAACTGAATGTTCAAAACTTAAATTCAAAGTATAAGTTGGAGGAAAAGTGACATTGTAATAAACTGTTTCATGATTAAAACATGAAAGATTAAAAAATTTCAACATGAATATTAATTTGAAAGCAAAATTGTCTACAATTTTACCCTCTAGGTATTTTTTTTATTTTTTTTCAGGCTTTGACAGTCAAAATGCCAGGCAAAAAGAAAAAGAAAAATTCAGACGCATACTTATTAAAACGGAAAGAGCAAAAGAGGTTGAGCATGCAACGTGCAAGGGAAAAATTAAAAACTGATCCAGACAAATATGAAGAAGAGAAGAAGAAAGATAGGGATAGGAAAAAAAGGAGTAGAAAAAGTATTCATGAAATGACAGAAAGAGAACAGAGAAAAGTTAGAAAAGGCTGGAAGAAATGTTCCCAGACTTACCGGGAACGGTTGAAAAAAAATAAAGAAATAGAGGAAGAACTTTTGAATAACACGCCACCTAACAGCCCAATGCCTATTTTAAATGTTTCAAATGAAGTTGAGGTATCAACATCAAGGGTTGACAGTGGTAAAAAGAAGAGGAGAAAAAACAGAGAAAAAATGAAAAAAGAAATGAAATCTCTAACTGATGAAAATAAAAAGCTCTTAAGGAAATTGGCAAAATACAAACAGAGGCTAAATAGATTGAAAAAAGCCAAAGTATTGGACCTAACGCCCAGGAAGAAAATTGAAAAACTATTGAACGGACAAAAGTGTTCTAATGAAGTAAAAAAACAGCTTTTATTTTCTGAAGTCTTGCAAATGCAAGTTAAAAGTAATTTTGCCAAAGAAAGAAAACTCAGCCATTCCATAAAAGGCTAATGGTAAAATCTCCCAGTGGGAAAATTGTTAAAAAATACAAGCTGTCCCATAAAGTAGCATCCTTAACTTCCTGGAGGACTCAGATCAGTGGTCAAGAATGGACCGCTGGAGTTCATTTAGTAAGAAAAAGAGACTTATTAAAAAAAGTCAAACTACGCCAGGATGTATTGACATTCCTGGAAGATGATGAAAACAGCAGGCAATGCCCTGGAAAAAAGATACGATAACAAGGTCAAAAACTAAAAAGCAGAAAAGGGAGTTGAACGACTCACTAAAAAACTTGTATACAAAATTTATATCATGCTATGAGGAACATAACAAAATAAGCTATTCTCATTTCTGCCGATTAAGGCCGTTTTGGATTGTCATTCCTCACTGCAGGTCAAGGGAAACTTGTCTCTGCAAAATCCAGACTAACATGAGCCTTATTGTTTCAAAAATGAACACGCTAAAGATGATCAGAGAAAGAACGCCTGAAGATCTAATAAAGAACATTACTTGTGAAAATGAATATTTAAAGGAGAAATGTTTGGAGAAAAAATGCATGGAGTGTAAGGGAAACAAGGTAGCATTTTTAGATTACAATGAAGAGGACAGTGTCACTTTATATCAATGGGTTGACAAGAAAGTTGAAGTGCAGATGAAAGGCAGAAAAAAGATTTGCAAGAAAACAACAAAGGAAGAAATAACTTGTTCTAAGAAAAAACTGAAAATTTTGTTTCAAAGCATGTTTGATAAATTTGTTCAGCATGTTAATAACATAATTCATCAACACCATGCTGTCAGACAAATAAAGAAGACCTTAAAAGAAAATGAAGCTTTCTTGCATATGGATTTCTCAGAGAATTATAATTGCAAATTTGGCCAAGAGATCCAGTCATTTCACTTTGGAGGAAGCAGAGATCAAGTTTCAATGCACACCTCTGTACTGTATTACCATGGCATAAATGGAACTGTCAGCCAGACTCTGTGCACATTATCTGAAAACAGAAGACATGATTCTGTCGCCATTTGTGGCCACCTAGTACCTATTTTCACGGAGATAAAAAAGTATGTTCCGAATCTGGAAAAAGTTCATTTTTTGAGTGATGGCCCGACCAATCAGTACAGGAACAGGAAGATGTTTGCTAAAAAGCTGCTAAATTTATAGCGAGAGAACTAAATGTAGAGACATTGCATTGGCACTTCTCCGAGGCCAACCATGGGAAAGGTGCCCCAGATGGGGTTGGTGGGGTCCTTAAGCGAACTGCAGACTGTGTTGTAGCTCGGGGTAAAGACATTCCCAGTATTGATGCTTTGATACGAGTGCTAGAACAAAACTGTAAAGGAGTTCATCTCTTCAAAGTAGATACTGAAGATATCTTGAAATTAGATACAGAATTCCATGGTTTAGAACTACCAAAATTTAAGGGGATTTTGAAAGTCCACGAAATAGCCTGGAGTAGAAAAATGAAAGATGAAATCTCAGCTAGACGACTCTCTTGTCTTCTATGTGAAGCCAATCAAGAATGCGACCACTATGAGATTGGGAAGATAATGATTCAAACCCCCAAATGTATCCTTTGGAAATTAGTATACATATAGGATTTTTCAATTTACCTGTTAGGGGCCTAAATGTTTTACTGTCTACTTTTTCATATAAATTACTGTTCGATTAACTACCTTTACAACTGTTCCAATTTATTTGTTTTCTGTATTTTGTTTTGGTTTTTCCTACTATTGTTTAAGACACACTCAGTTTTTATCCAAGCATATTAAAGTAGCATGATTATTTGAATGTTTTCCTTAACCAGTTTTTCAGGTGATAAAAACCATGATGGAGAAGGAGGTGATGACAATGTCTCCTGCACTAATCTACCTGCTAAGTGTATCCTTTTTAATTTGTTTTGTTGGATTTCTATTTTGCTAATTTATTACTTTTCTCAAAGGAACAGATGAATAATTTTACAAGTTACAACAGTTTCATTGAGCTATTAGAAGGCTTGTACTTATAAATATATTTAAAGAAAGATCTTTGAAAAATGGTATCTGAATGAGGTTCTCTAGAATACATAATTCTGTGATTCTCATCCCCCTGTGATAACCTCAAAATTTACTGCTAAAGGTCTATCCCTCAGCTCCATGGACATCAGCTCCATGGACTCCATGGTCAATTTAATGACCACGGAGCTGAGTAAATGTCCACGGAGCTGAGGGTTTTAGCTTTTCATATATAAACTATGGGTTTTTTGGTGTAATTTACATTGATTTAAATAAGTTACCTACGAGACTTCAGTTATTATTTATAAAATTTTTAAATACAACAACTTATTTACTTTCCAAATACAAAAACGCATTGATTTTCCTTCACTGTTTTACAGCTAAGAAACAGAAGACATTCCGGAAGAAAAAGCCAATATACTCTGCCATATACAGTGATTCGGATTCTGATCCAGATAACCCTCCAGAGCTCAATGTGAAAACCAATGACTTTGTTGTCGTTAAAGTGTTCGGGAAAAAAACCTTGAACTTCTATGCAGGTTGTGTCACAAAATGTTTCAATAACGGGGGTTACCAGATAAGATTCATGCGAAGGTGCACTGACACTAAAAACAAATTCTTTTTTTCCAGTGAGCCTGAAGCATCAGTTACCAAAGATGAGGTTGTTGCTACTTTGGAGCAACCAGATTTAATAAATTCTAGAGGCCTGTACGTTTTCAAACAATTGCCTGAGAATTACAAGTTATTAGGTTAGCTTTCAAGTAGTAGGCCTATTTAGCTGAAGCTTCTTGAATTTTATATCCTGTTATAAAGACTTGTTACCTATGTATGTAGTTTCAGTAAACATTAAATGAGTTCTTAATTTATTGCTTAGTTTTGATTTAGCCTCCCAAATGATGAATGTTTTATAAATTACATAAACTTGAGTACGCCAATTTAAACAGATTTGTTGCGCTTCCCTGCTTTAATGATTTTAATGACGAAGCACCTAAAAAGAATTTAAAAACATTGTTTGTAAGCATTAGATAATAAACTTTTAACATTACATAAAAATACTAAGAATATCAACATTTTTACCCAATTGAAGAGCAAACGCATGTTTACGTCTCTACTCCGTGGACATGTCACAACTCCGTGGAAACAAAAAAAAAAAATATATTTTTTTCTTTTAAATAAGTAGAAAAGCTTGTGTTTCAAAATGCCTAGGCCAGGGTTACCTAGTGAGATTTATGAAAAGGTGTACTGACACCAAAAACAAATTCGTCTTTTCAACCGAGCCAGAGGCTTGTGTCAGTAATGATGAAGTATTATCTATTTTGAAAGAGCCTTCTTTGTTAAACTCCAGAGGGTTGTATGTATTTGAAAACCTACCCCAACAATATAAATTGTTGAACTAAATCATTAATAGTTTGTTGCTGTACTCATTAAGCTTACACTTGACGGAATAGTTTTATTTTCCTGATGCTGTGGTTGTCCCAGTAGAGTTCTTAAATATGTTCTTACTTATTCTTCAAATTTTATAAACATAAGAGCCTTTACTTTTACAAAGTATTTCTTTTACTTTCAATAAATGTGTAATTATTTTAATTGTGTGTATAGTTTTATTAATTTCCCTAAAACATCAGGTCCGTGGACATTGCGGTCATGTCCGTGGACACTTATAAATAAAAACATTAATTTAAGCAAAAAATGGACAAGTATCATCTGGGCGAGCTATATGGTCTAAATAATGAATATTAGTTGAACACAAACTGATTACTAAAAATTAAAAAATTAAAATTTTATAATTTTGTTTTTTGCCTTGTCGAATTCGACGTTTTGTGGAGAATGACCCATAAGCTAAAAACACCAACTATTTGAATTAATATAAAACCTAGTTCTAGTTATACAGTAGAACCTCTTTAATCCGAACTAATTGGGACCAGGGGTAGTTTGGACTATTGAATAGTTCGCATTACAGAACATATTGTTGTTTTTACATAACAATAGCTAAAACATGGCTAAAATTGATCAACAAAATTTTGGGGAAAGACAAACGCAGACAGTAAAGTAAAATACAGTGTTTATTTAATACAGTAGTAAACATGGTGAATAAACAGTACTGTAAATTAAATACAGTGTACAATAAAGAACTGCTGTACTGTGTATAGAGTACAGCAATCAAATCAAATCAAATCAAAATTTTCTTTATTCATTATGTACACATAGAGTACAGAATGGCGTCAACAAGTACTATTATAAACTAGCAAGTACAAGTATATATAATACAATAATAAATTAAAATTATAATCACTGTAAGAAATTAAATTTACTGTTACAGACGACATATGCTTAAAAAAATTCATTAAAACTGTACAAAGGTTTAACAATAATAAATGACTTCAATTTCTTTTTGAAGGACCCAAAATCAGTTATACATTTTATGTTGTCTGGTAATGAATTATAAAATTTGATGCCTGAATATGTTGGCTTCTTCTCATAAAATGTTAGCTTATGTCTATTAAAACCAAAATTATTCTTATTTCTAGTTTCATATCTGTGGTTAAAACCTAGCATACAATGACTATTTTGATTTTTTTAAATCCACAGAATCAGATCATAGATTAATTGGCTGTAAACTGTCATTATTCCTAAATTTGAAAAATGTTCTCTGGCTGACTCAAACCACTTAAGTTTCATTATTATTCTTATTGCTTTTTTTTTGCAATATAAGTATCATGTTTAAATTTTCATTAGAGGTGTTGCCATAAACCGACAAACCAAAAGAGACATGAGAGTGCACAAAAGCAAAATAAACTGCTTTAAGGGTTTTAATATCACAAAATGGTGATAATTTTCTAAGGATGAAAATACCTGTTGACATTTTTTTACAAACTTGAGATACATGAGTGTTCCAGCTAAGAAGTCTATCAACAGTTAAACCAAGGAATTTTGTTTCCTTAACTTCATCAATAAAGGAATCATTAAGACAAACATTCATTACCACAGACCCACTTTTCCTATTTGAAGCGGAAAAACTAATATATTTAGTTTTTGTTTATTTAATAAAAGGTTTAAATCAGCTAAATGTTGTTGGATTGCATTAAGTTTTATAAAAGAAGATATTTCTATATCATTTGCATGGTATCCGGATAGTTTTATATTTACATCATCTGCATATAAAGTGATTTTACTTTGATCACTGAAATTAGCTAAGCTATTGATGTAACATAAAAAGAATAAAGGTCCCAATATAGATCCTTGTGGTACACCATATTTCAACGGACTGTTACTGGAACGGCAAGATATAAGTTGATTATATTTGTTTACGTATTTCAGTTCAACAAAAGTAGTTCGATTACATAAATAAGATTTGATCCAATCATAAGCTCTATTTTTTATTCCAAAATTTGAAAGAATACTTAATAATTTGGTATGACAAACACTGACAAATGCCTTGCTGAGGTCGATGAAAATTCCTACGGTTTGCTCGCCTTTATCTCGCCTTTATCAAGGGGGGTTCGGGGCCCAATGAGGGGTTCGGATTAGTGGACGTTCGGATTACGGGGGTTCGGATTAAAGAGGTTCTACTGTATATATATACAGGGTGTGTCTTGTAAGTAGGTACAAATAATTTAAGAATAGGTTTATAGAGTCGTTGCACAAAATTGCAGATAACCGCAGTTGACGTGCAGAACGTGCTGGAGGTGGGGCAGGCTAGGTTTCCTGACGCACCTCTAGTGTGGCTCAAAGGGTTTGCTTCGTGGCTCAACACCAAACTGCCTGTTGATCACACGGATAATACGTTTACTGCCAAGAGTTGGGAATACCCTCTGTGTTTGCTACACAAAGATATCAGGTAGGGCAGGGTTCTTCCTACTATTAACTAAGGGTTTTGCTATAAAATCAAATGTATAGCTTCAGCTTGATACTTTCTGTAGCCGTTTAAATTTTTAAATCAACATCTGTGAAATCAGCAGACAGAGAAAAACTGCCTGTGTATCTTCTGCGTTGCTATAATTTGTTTAATTATGGTATAAATGAGCTTGCATTAATTGCAAAATTCTTTTGTTTCACACCTCTCTGTGGTATAGTGAGCTGATTTTAACTCTTTTGGTTTTTTCTTCCTATTACTAGCTGCATGGTAGCCAAAGTAATATCTTTTCACATCTTTTGTAAATTAGAAAAGTAAGGAAAATTAAATAAAGAACATTCTCAAAGTTTGTATTTTTATTATAAATAAATTCAAATTTATTGTATTCACTCTACCTTTTTTATCATTCAATATTTCTTTCACTTGAAATTAATTTTAAAATAATATTATTATTTAATGCTAGGTTTTAATCCTCCAACTTGAATATAATTGACCCATTACTTTATTTAACTAGGTACTTAGTAAAAAAAAAAATTAATCGATAACTGTTGTCAGGTCTGTTCTAAAGAAAGCTTTGAAAGAGGTGCCTGATGCTGCAGTCCAGATGTTCTTTGATTACTGCCTTACGTCAATGGCAAATGATATGACCAAAGGTAGGTTATGAATAATGAGAATTATTTCAGCTTTGAAATAACAGGTTCATTAAGGGGTTTAACCCTCTAGACCACCTAGCACTTAGGTGGAAAAGACCTACATTGTGTTTCGGTAATTACTGTATGGGAAAGCAGGCTGAGGTTCTCAGTCACATAAACTCAGGGAAGGGGTTGCATGAAATAGTAGTAGTGTCTAGTCAAACTTCTGGTTAGGATCATGTTATACCAGCACATTTGTCACGGGAAATAGGACGCTAAATTTCCAGGTTAAGTGGAGCTGCAAACGCAGCGGGAACCATGCATCGCAAGGGCATGCCCTTATACACAGACCATTGGTAAGACAACGCGGTCACGGGGTGATCGTCGGTATGACTCGCGGTCACGGCGTGATCGTTGGTAGTATTCCTGAAATTTCAGGACTTGCCCATCCCTACTTATTTCCACGATAGACACCATCCAGTTAGGTGGCTTTTTGTTATGATCTGAATGGATAAGAGTCCACTCCGACACAAGAACACTGAAACACTTTTTTCTTTGGAAGAGATGTCCCTTGGTTGAAAATGCTGTTGGTTGTGTATGATGAAAAATCTTTTGTGTTTATTGTTCTGAAGTACACTCTTTCACATTCAGGTACGCCTGCTGTTCTAACAAAAATCCTTAAATCTCCTTTTGATTTATGCTGCATCCATAAAAAAAAAACAGTAAAAAAGTTTTTACTGAAGTCTATATTTACAAAAATGTTTACACACACTAGTATCGCGGTCTTATCAATCGGACAACGAGATGACAAAAGTCCAAACAACCGTCGAACGGCCTAAATGCCAACAACCCCAGTCCATGAAATGAAACCGAGGAAGAAAGACCTCACGCCATAACTCCCTTGGTAGTCTGACATAGCATTGTGTGTGTAAATACTTTTTGTAAATATAGACTATAGTGTAATAAGAAGATGAATTAAGAAGACCTCTGAAGATGTCACATAAGGTGCAGAAATGCATAAGGTGACACAAACATCTTACACAAGAACTCAGGCAACAATGAATCTAAATCTAATATCATTCAACTGTTTCCTTTTTTATTAAAAATTGGGCCACAGGTCCACATAAACGAAGGCCTACTTCAGCGCCTAACAGTTAATACTTTCACATACTAACCAAGATGAGTGGATTTGCATTTTGATAAGTTTGTTGTTATTTTTCAGGCAGTCCAGTGACGGGATACAAGATGTTGCTACAGTTGGTAGCATCGCAGACTCCATCTGTCGCGGTGGCAGACCTGGCGAAGGCTGCGACGTTACGTCACTCATACCAGAACCGTCCCGCTATCGGATGCTCGGTGATGTGGGCGCTTGGACAGGGCGGATTCAAAGACATCCTTGCTGGACTTCAGGGTAAGACTTTCTGAGCTATTGTGTTTTCCAGAGTATCTAATTAGTTGAATATTCTAGACCAGTGTTTCCTAACATGTGGTAAGCGACCTTTGGGGCTGTAGGATGATCTTAATACAAGAATTATATTTCACATGTATGTCAGGATTGTTTGGTGTATATACAACTTGACATTAGAACAACCATAAGAGTTTTTGGTAAGTTTAATACAGTAAAACCCCGATTATCCGAATTAATTGGGACCGGGGTCAATCCCGATAAAAAAAAAATTAGGATAATCGGACACAGAATGGTAGCGAATGAACTTTATTGAGTATAACCAAGACAGAGCTGTTAAATTTAATTGAAGTACAGTAGAGGAACAAATACTGAGATAAATAAAAACAAAATTACAGTACAATATTAAGTTCTTTTCAAAAAGTTCTTCAACAACGCTTACTTATACATCTTGATCAGTGTAAGTTGCCATGACATTGTAGCTCATTTCCGCGCAGCTAAAACACGCAGGCGCCGGACGGCAAGAAGCTGTACACCGTCACACTCTGGTTGCCGCTCCATCCATTTAAGGGCGTTGTCAAAACAGAATTGTTCTTGAAATTGTGTATCCATCCCGTGCTTTTTTTAAAATCAGCTACACCCATTTTTTCACAGAACATTTGCGCCTTTTCACATAAAATAGGTCCTGAAATCGGTTGTCCATTAGATCGTTGGTACCAGGTAAAAACTGCATTCTCAAGCTGTTCATCTTTTGCCTTTTTCATTACTTTTCGCGACAAACATCCATCATCACTTTCCAATGTTGTCACAAAACTTAAAATCTTTTCACTGTTATTTTTAATGTCAGTAATCGTAGCTGCCCTGACACCAAAACTCTGCACAACTAATACCTTTCCCGCCACTCCGTTTTTTAACTGGTTGATTATTTCCACTTTGTCCTTTAGCGATAGGACTACATGTTTTCGTTTTGCACTCAATTTTCCTACTTATTTAAACACACATAACCATTAAATAATTCAAATCACAAGTTTGACAAACTCACAACTAAAATAAAATAAAATACGAACAAAAACAAAAAAAACTGCGATCTGCACAGTAGGAGAGGGAGGAGCTAACTAACCTAGCTCTGATAGTTCACATGTCATTGGGTAGGGGGAGTGGCTGCAGGTGGATGCACAATACACTCTGCGCATCAAAACACTGCCACGCTGTCAATTCACTACACCGCCGGGTGGGGTGGCATCGTCATTGTGTTAACACGACAGTCAGTCAAATTTTTGCACTTGGTTTTAATTTTTTATATTAAGCTTAGAGCCGATTTGGATAATTGGCGATGCGGTTAATCGGTACTCAGATAATAGGCGTTTTACTGTATAGTAAAAAAATAAGTGATTGGTTAGAAATTATTTATCTCAAGATGTATGAGTGAGAAAACAAAAACCTCTTGTGTCTGGTGATCGGATTAGATTATCTAACATATTAGTGACTTTGCAGTGTGGAAGCACGTGATGTTCCCAGTGTATCCGTTGAGGAATTACACACACTTTGTAACCGACTACCTCAAGCATCTCCTAGCCAGACATTTAGCCAGCAAAACGATTACAGCCAAACACTACTTGGACATTGTAGATGTGGTTATTTCCTCAACACAACCAGCGAACCACGAGCTGTGGAGTCACTTGAAGACCTTACAGGTACGTGTTGGTTTCTGTAGTGATGTACGATATTTACTAATAATTGTTACTATCGACTAATTGGTTGCAAGTTGGAATATTTAATTGACTTATTACTTATTAGTTTAGATAGGTTACCACGGTCACAGCAGATTGTCTTCGGGTGATGACCGTGTTGTAAAATGAGTAGGCTAAGACTAGACGCCGACGTTTTGGATGCGTAGTTCAATAGTAGTTTGCCCCAAAGATGGATAGCTACTATGCATCCGAAACTTCAGTCTCTATAGTCTTACTCGTTTAACGACGAGGTCATAAACCGAAGACCTAAATTTGACAGTTTGACTTAGTTGCCCATGACCAACTAAAACCATGGACTAGTTTGACTAATATATTTTAAAATGACTAATATATGTTGCTACTAGTCAACAATCCTCGAGATGAAATCATGTTTTAACAATCCTGTGAAGAAAATGTTGCATATATGTTAATGAAATACTAATTAGTTAGGATAGTTACGATTTATCTTTTAGTTCCACCATTGACTATTGGAATAGTCAAGGGTTCCACATGAAGTGACCTAAAACTATTTGACAAGTAGGATAGAATAGAGGCCATCTAGCTTCTCTGTGAAAGTCAGTGTCCAGGGGCTAGTAAATATAAAACAAAAGAAAACAAAAACATATAACTGATATTCCTAATGTACTTCTTCAAACAAATCTCTTCAACCTATCCTAAGAAGAAGTCCTACGGCAGGACAAAATATTTTTTCTATGTTTCATGTTCTTTTATTGTGTATTTATTAGCCCATGGACTCTAATTTTCTCACAATTAAAAACACTCGTAACTTGTTAAATGTCTTGAAATAATAATATGATTGGTTGATTTACGATTTAAAACAGTTTTACTGGTAAGAATTTGTAAACTTTTGACGTTTAACCAATTTCCTTGATGAAATTGACGAATTCAGACCTTAAGTTTTTTTCTCCCTTCAAAAAGGTGGCACCTTGCTCACTAATAGCACAAATAAAAATTTGTCATTGGGAGTTAATTTCTAAACGTTTCAGGAGATATTGTGTAACTCCCAGCCTAGCAACTCTCTACACAGTCTGGTGGAGCCGCTGTTGACAAGACTGAGTAGCAACAGCTCACCTCCTCTAAGGCAAGAGGCAAGTCAATGTAGTGATAAGATACCAGTTAAAAAAATAAGCCTTAATAAGATGAGATGATAAGACATTATAGGATAGATAACGTGATAAGGCGTTATAAGACAAGATATGTGATAAGATAAGAGTTTTCTCCAGTCTTCACATTAATATTTTACTTCCTTATAAATATGTTTTTGTTGTACTGAATCCAAAACGGCTAATTTCAATATGCTGCAATGGGCCTAGAAGTTCTTTTAGTCATTGGGGCAACAATGAATCTGCAGCTACCAAATTGTTGAGCGTTTCTTTTTGTATTGAAATTTACTATAGAAAATATGATAATAAATTTGATTGATTTGGATCAAGTGTGAACGTGTCATGGTGAATAGATAGATTAAAGAAAGTTGTAAAGAAATATTTATATAACATCTTCTACGAAGGGTAAAAAGTAGTAAAATGTTGTAAAACAGTGATCATTAGTAAAAATTATTATATATCAAAATTTGTCATAATTTTGTAAATTTTTATCTTTTTCCTACAATAATCCTCCTAAATGAGTCATTTTCAAAAACCTTAACTGCCCGTTGTCATAGACTACTTTGCAGAGATTTAACGACAGTGAAGTACTGATGCAGTACAAGTGAAATTAGTGATGACAACAGTGATGAGGTAGAGCAGGCGGTGTTGGTTTGTTGTAGGCAAACGTATAATCTCAAAAAAAGCCCAAAATGCCCAGTCATCCGCAGATTGCTATAAAATTCCCACAACCCCTCAATGAAGAAGTGTTACTTCAATATATTTATTACATGGTTATGGCTATGGTTTTTTACATGGTGTCTACTGGAAATCACGGATGTCACTGATTTTTCTGTAGGGTCACGGAAGTCACTGAAAAGGAAAGGCTTTTCATTTTAAGTCCCAGAAAAAAACGTGCCTAGCTAATATTTAGTTCCTCCAGACCTGTCCTTTGTTTTGCTGCAGGCAACGATTATATTCATAATGCAGAATCAGCGAGAATCTATTTTGGGAGCAGGCAACCAGCTTAAATCGTCAGGACACAAAAATACTGTATGGACGATTATCTCATATTCAAGTCACAGAAAATTGATGTCCTATATGTACCAAAGGTTGTGCATTTGTGTAATTCCCCCCCCCCCCTCTAAAGTCACTGAAATTAAATTTTATCTACTGTTAGATACCCTGTTATAATTTAGTGGTGTTTTGATCCAAGTTTAAAAGCTTTTTTTGTTGTTTCAGCTGGTCAGATATCTGTGCCACTGTCTGGCTACGGACACCCAGAGTTGGTCTGAGTGGAGGAGAGTCTACACTAAACTACAACCTCAGTCCGCTATTCTCCTTAGGCGTCTCAGTAAGTATGATGACTTGTAGTGTGTAAGATATAAGATAGTGTCAGCTGGTCAGATATCTGTGCCACTGTCTGACTACGGACACCCAGAGTTGGTCTGAGTGGAGGAGAGTCTACACTAAACTACAACCTCAGTCCGCTATTCTCCTTAGGCGTCTCAGTAAGTATGATGACTTGTAGTGTGTAAAGATATAAGATAGTGTCAGCTGGTCAGATATCTGTGCCACAGTCTGGCTACGGACACCAAGGGTGTCTGAGTGGAGGAGAGTCTACACTAAACTACAACCTCAGTCCGCTATTCTCCTTAGGCGTCTCAGTAAGTATGATGACTTGTAGTGTGTAAGATATAAGATAGTGTCAGCTGGTCAGATATCTGTGCCACTGTCTGGCTACGGACACCCAGAGTTGGTCTGAGTGGAGGAGAGTCTACACTAAACTACAACCTCAGTCCGCTATTCTCTTAGGCGTCTCAGTAAGTATGATGACTTGTAGTGTATAAAGATATAAGATAGTGTCAGCTGGTCAGATATCTGTGCCACAGTCTGGCTACGGACACCAAGGGTGTCTGAGTGGAGGAGAGTCTACACTAAACTACAACCTCAGTCCGCTATTCTCCTTAGGCGTCTCAGTAAGTATGATGACTTGTAGTGTGTAAAGATATAAGATAGTGTCAGCTGGTCAGATATCTGTGCCACAGTCTGGCTACGGACACCAAGGGTGTCTGAGTGGAGGAGAGTCTACACTAAAGTACAACCTCAGTCCGCTATTCTCCTTAGGCGTCTCAGTAAGTATGATGACTTGTAGTGTGTAAGATATAAGATAGTGTCAGCTGGTCAGATATCTGTGCCACTGTCTGGCTACGGACACCCAGAGTTGGTCTGAGTGGAGGAGAGTCTACACTAAACTACAACCTCAGTCCGCTATTCTCCTTAGGCGTCTCAGTAAGTATGATGACTTGTAGTGTGTAAAGATATAAGATAGTGTCAGCTGGTCAGATATCTGTGCCACAGTCTGGCTACGGACACCAAGGGTGTCTGAGTGGAGGAGAGTCTACACTAAACTACAACCTCAGTCTGCTATTCTCCTTAGGCGTCTCAGTAAGTATGATGACTTGTAGTGTGTAAAGATATAAGATAGTGTCAGCTGGTCAGATATCTGTGCCACAGTCTGGCTACGTACACCAAGGGTGTCTGAGTGGAGGAGAGTCTACACTAAACTACAACCTCAGTCCGCTATTCTCCTTACGCGTCTCAGTAAGTATGATGACTTGTAGTGTGTAAAGATATAAGATAGTGTCAGCTGGTCAGATATCTGTGCCACAGTCTGGCTACGGACACCAAGGGTGTCTGAGTGGAGGAGAGTCTACACTAAACTACAACCTCAGTCCGCTATTCTCCTTAGGCGTCTCAGTAAGTATGATGACTTGTACTGTGTAAAGATATAAGATAGTGTCAGCTGGTCAGATATCTGTGCCACTGTCTGGCTACGGACACCAAGGGTGTCTGAGTGGAGGAGAGTCTACACTAAACTACAACCTCAGTCCGCTATTCTCCTTAGGCGTCTCAGTAAGTATGATGACTTGTAGTGTGTAAAGATATAAGATAGTGTCAGCTGGTCAGATATCTGTGCCACTGTCTGGCTACGGACACCCAGAGTTGGTCTGAGTGGAGGAGAGTCTACACTAAACTACAACCTCAGTCCGCTATTCTCCTTAGGCGTCTCAGTAAGTATGATGACTTGTAGTGTGTAAAGATATAAGATAGTGTCAGCTGGTCAGATATCTGTGACACTGTCTGGCTACGGACACCCAGAGTTGGTCTGAGTGGAGGAGAGTCTACACTAAACTACAACCTCAGTCCGCTATTCTCCTTAGGCGTCTCAGTAAGTATGATGACTTGTAGTGTGTTAAGATATAAGATAGTGTCAGCTGGTCAGATATCTGTGCCACAGTCTGGCTACGGACACCAAGGGTGTCTGAGTGGAGGAGAGTCTACACTAAACTACAACCTCAGTCCGCTATTCTCCTTAGGCGTCTCAGTAAGTATGATGACTTGTAGTGTGTTAAGATATAAGATAGTGTCAGCTGGTCAGATATCTGTGCCACTGTCTGGCTACGGACACCCAGAGTTGGTCTGAGTGGAGGAGAGTCTACACTAAACTACAACCTCAGTCCGCTATTCTCCTTAGGCGTCTCAGTAAGTATGATGACTTGTAGTGTGTAAAGATATAAGATAGTGTCAGCTGGTCAGATATCTGTGCCACAGTCTGGCTACGGACACCAAGGGTGTCTGAGTGGAGGAGAGTCTACACTAAACTACAACCTCAGTCCGCTATTCTCCTTAGGCGTCTCAGTAAGTATGATGACTTGTAGTGTGTTAAGATATAAGATAGTGTCAGCTGGTCAGATATCTGTGCCACAGTCTGGCTACGGACACCAAGGGTGTCTGAGTGGAGGAGAATATACACTTAAGTACCCGATAACCATATAATAGGTAATAAATCTGAGTTCTTAAACTAAATATTTTTGTGAAAATCCATCCAGATGAATGGACATCGACATAGTCTACTGGTTTACCGCAACAAGTGTATATCAGAGCAAGTGTTAGTGGCCACAAACTAGATCAAAATACACTGGGGAATCCGCAAAACCAGTCAAACCCCTAACAGAAAGACTGACCCTACAAATTCTCATCTCAATGTTTACAGACGCAGACTGGGAATCCGTCAGTTCCCAGCTTCCGTTGAAGAATCTCAAGGAAACTTTGAGGACTTTTAAGGTCACTAACGACGACCTTCACAAGAGCAAGCAGAGAAATGAAGGCCTGCAGGAGTGCTCTAGGCTTTGTGTGGTGAGTGAAACAAAATGTTTGAACCGTCAGAAGTTATTTCAAAATTAAATTTAAATAGATAATTTTTAATACTTAGACAGTCAATAAAATATAAAAATCTCCTAGGAAGACTTAAAATTTCTTGTTATGAAATTTATATTTAATTTTAATAAAGAATACTTAAAAAAATATATAAACATAAACTCAGTGATGTCATCAAATTATGGGACATAGGTCACCCATAAGCACGGAGGAAGTTTTCACCATGAGGGACGCCGGTGCTCCATGAGCACTGGTGAAAGTGTTCACTTATTATTCACTTACTCATTACTAATTCAAATAAATCTAAAATGTACCGTCATAGACTAACCAATGGAAGTAGACTTCTCATCCCATTGTAAATTTTGAAGCTTTTTTTAGTATCTAGTTCATGTAGTCGACACTGATCGCTAGTGTCGTCACAGTAGTGTCAACAAAATTTTGTTTTTATTATTTTAGGGTTAATTTTATGATTTGTAATTTACTGTTTGATTTTAAAACTTGGGTACAAGTTATTGTTTATATAGTTTCATTTTGCTTAACGAGGTATTAAATTACTGAAATTACAAGAAACAAATTGTAAACAAAACACAACCTCTACAGTGCACCGGACATAACTAAAAATAAAATTGGGATCATCTGTTCCATAAGGATGAGAAATCTACTGTACAACGCAAACTGTAAAGAATATTTCTCCACGCGCATGAAATGTCGCTCTCCTCCGACCGAGCTAGGTGGGTTAGTTGGGAAATGCATGTGCAAGTGCTGCCGAACCGCAATAGGTTGCTGGCGACCCCTAGTGCAGACAAGTTGTTGAACGTCTCACATTTTTTAGAAATTAGTAAACTTAAACTACAATAATATGCAATAATTTGGGTGATTTCATTGTACAAAAATACTATAGAAAGCTATTTACACTAACTTTTCATCATTCAGGTCAATTTAGCTCCTGACTACATTGTTTTGATTGAAATATTCTGTTAGTTTTTCTGAAAATCAACAGAAAAATTATTTTCTCTATGATAATTTTCCTTTTAATTTTTAGGCTCTTCTTGAAAAAATCTCTGGATCCAAGAAATCATTCCCTTGGAAAACCATTGTTTTTGTGGTGTTTTTGGCCGTGGCTGGTGCAGTGGCTTTTGATTCCAAAGTTCACAACGGATTCAAAGGTAAGAACCGTATTTTCCTCCTTAGTTTATCCTTTTTGTCTGAAATGAATTGTAGAATAAAATCGCATAACATGTTTCTTACAGTATAAGAAATAACACAAACATTAAACTTCTAATCAAATTAAGTAACTCTCTTACTCAAGTGTGAAAAGAAAAGAAGTTGGCCTAGCGAAGCTAGCCGATGTTTACTGAGCCTAAACTTTTAAGAACGCATTTAATAATGTTTTTAACTCCTGTAACAAAATTAGAAAGACAAACCTTACCATAGTCGCTTATCTAAGAACTATACCTATGCCAAAGCCTATCGTTGAGTATTTTATGTTCCATTTAAGAGGATTTCAATTCAAGGTATTAAAAAATTCACTACCGAGCGTTACAATCATTGCCACAGACCATGGTACAGTAGACTCTTGATAATTCGAAATTGGTGGGCCAAGCATATAAATTTGAATTATCAAGAGTTTTGAATTATCAAGAGTTTGATTTATCGGGAGAAAAATAAACCATTCGAATTACAGAGAGTTCATTTGTTTAATACATACAAAGGTACAGCACTATACAATAAAACATCATACCGTATTTTAGTACACTTTTAAACAATCAACGGCTTATTTTTCAGTTACTGTAGTTGCAAAGAGATCTGTTATTTAGCGCTACTGTATATATTTCGCCAAAAGCTGAACTTTCAGCTGTCTGACAACTACGTTTGTGCTCAAGGAGATGTCACGCAATCTAGAGATCGGATTGCCAACTTAGAAAAACAAGTCAGCGAACTCAGACTACTGCTCTAATTAAACAAACATCAAAACGTCCATCAAATAGCCTACCATGGGAACAGGATGTACTGTACTGTATAGTTTCCTGTTATAACAGGAAGAGATCACTTCGAATTATAGAGTGTTTTGCCGACTAAACTTCGAATTACTGCGTGTTACAAATTGACCTGCCCTCTATTTGGACTTTGAAATACCGAGTGTATCAAAATGCATGGTAAAAATTTGAAATATTGAGAGATTCTCTAGGGACTGAGCCTTCATTTTGAATTATCGAAAGTTTTGAATTATCAAGTGTTTGAATTACCAAGAGTGGACTGTATACAATTTAATCTTACACATAGACCGGGTGTCACTTGGTTAACAGTACATGCAGACCACGGTCAAAAACCAACAACATAAATAGACAACGGTCTATAGAATCTATTGAAGACAATAGTGAAAATTATTATATTTTTCTTGAAATAACCCAAACGCCGCATATATGCGACACTTCATTTTTGTTTGTGTTTTGATGTGGAAGTAAGTAAAAAAAGAGATTATTACAGAAAAGTTTATAATTGAACAAATATAAAAGCTACATAAGATGATATTGCAACATACATAACTTACTGCATACATACATACAGTGATGCAGCAAAGTAAAGAACAGTTTTTCCAACTATCATATAATGTCACCAATCATCAAATCTAAAGACAAAGTGATGAATTGTGCGTCAGACATCCCTGTGGACCACTGCAGAGAATTCAGTGCCTTTAGATAGACCGTTACAAAGATAAGCCTTTTGATAACATTGGAACACTGATGCAAATATGCGTCGTCAGTCTATTTTAATGTAACTAGCCGCCGCATATATACGTCGGCAGTCTATGGGGAGAAACCGGCCATCGTATATGTACGTCGCTGGTCTAGATGAATGGAAAATTTTTTGTACTATTGCGGTAGCAAATGTGTTAAAGAAATATTTATCAACTCATTGTGTTCTTGTAGTCTTTTTGGTGTTTCAATAGGATGGAAGAAGGCTGCCTTAATACTTACAATGAGATAAGAATATACTGTCAATTATACAGTTCTAATTACCAAAATTTAGATAATGAACACGGTTAATCTACTTTAAAATAAGCATTCTTTTGTCTGTACTTAAATAATTTATAGGTAGTTTAAACAATTGAATTTCCTTTAATTATGTGTTATTTTAGCATCCAAAACTGGAGTCTTTCTGAAAGACATTGGAGCTTTGAAGTACGGTGAACAAGCCTTTGACAGAATAAAAGAAGTTTCCATTCAAGGCTACAGGTAAGAACTTAACTTTTTTGTTTAGACTAGCCTACAACATACACTGTCACATTTCGTTGACTGGAGTCATTAGTATGGCTGACTGTTAGTACTTATCAGCAGTCGCCGAGCCAGAAGGCAGGGAGTTTGTATACAAAGAGTTTAGAATCATGTAATGGTGTTTTATTTGTGAAGAGTTCACCTGCTTAATGTATATACCAGGTATGTGAGATCCTCTCAAAATAAACAGTTCACTTAGAAGTTGATGGGATGAGTGAATCGACCTATCAGGAAGTATACAATTTGGATGGGTATACAATGAAAGGACAAAGTTCCTTGGCATTCTGTTGGATAGAAAACTGTTGTTGAGTCATGTTCACATGATCTGTTCAAAAGTTAGTAAGAGATCGTTGTCTTTGTTAGGAGTCTGCAAGCAAATTTGTAGGTCAAGCCAACAGTTAGCTCGAGAGATTGGTAGCCAGATATAGTTTTTGTGTCAATCAGATGATATACAATTTTGTACATTTGTTGTCCTAACACCATTAAGGGTGCGCTCTACCTCAGCTCGGAAATCTCAGAACGATGTTCGAAGTGTCCACCAGACTGCGCCGTGTCGGTGCAACCCAGTTGGAGGGGAAGTGGTGGGAGGAGCTAGGAGGTTCGCGAGTTGACTGCTACACACGCGCGCAAGCGCAACCGGGTTCTTATTCGCGCGTCCGCTTATCTTTAGCTTTTGCTCAACCTCCATCATGCCCTGCCACCGACACTCACTGGCAGCAACGTGACGTTCGCTATCGCTCCCATAAGCTTATACAGTAAAAAGTAAAACATTCCTAAATATTGAGTCTTGTTTGTCATCTATAATATTAAAACAAAACAGTGTTTTTTTATTTCACGATTCTGAATCAACCACTCGACGGATTTTCATGATTTTTGTGTTGAAAGAAAGATAATTTTGAGAACTAGGGAATGTCTAAGCCATAATTTTAGTTCAGGGTCCCAGTTATTTAGAAATTAAGTTTTAATTTTTAAAAAGTCTAGCAGCCGAAGCTAAGATTCTAAACTAGCTTTTGGCATAAAATAATTTGCTTAACATAACAGCTGTAAACATTCAGCTTTTGTGTCACAAATTCAGCATTTGGATAAAAAATGTAAAGATATACTTAGGGTTGACTTATTTATACGATGTGTAATGCTAATCATTGATAGGTTCTGGGGCCCATTTCATAATAAAGTACAAACTAATATTATTAATTAATCAGCTGATAGCCCAATGCAAATCTAATGGAAATTACAAGTTACATGTTGTAACTTGTAACTTGTAGTTTATTATGAAATGGGCCCCTGTAAGAGGATGACAGATTATTGTCGGGACCACGTAAGTTTGCAGTTGGTGGCAGCCAATTACAAGACAAGGCTAGCGCGACGTTGCCACATCACCCATTGACAACACTAATTAAAATATAAAAGCAATATTTTCAAATCAGCTGGTATTATTAGATTTGGCAACACTGCACCGTTCTCATTGGTTCAATAAAAACCATATGGTAAATAGGCTCCTCCCTCAACTGCAAACTTATGTGGTCCCGACAATAATTAAATATACATAGTAAAATACTAGGATGTTCAAATTATATTTTAAAGCAATCTTTGTAATCTTCGATTTGTTTTAGAGCAATATAATTTGTTTTTACTAACAGCTGGTTAAATATAAACTATGGAACTATGAAATTATTTTATTTACTCATTTTGTCATTGATTATAGGAAATAAGTAAGATTAGTAGAGATAATTAGACCACAGTTTTAACCAAAATTAATCAAACTACAGTACAAATCTAGGCTCTGTACACGAGTCTTAATAAAAAAGGATAAATGCAAATTATTTTACTGCTACACTTTTCAAAGAAAGATTGACATAGATTGAACACAACGTCAACATTGACCTAGGATACTGCAATTAGACAAACCATCCTTTTATGAAATCGTGTTCAGTTGCGGTTACGTTTGGGGGCGCCTGTATCGGCGGCCACGTGAAAATATCACTTTTATTTCAACTATGAATATTGTAGTTTAAATTAACTAATATGGGAAATTACGATGTACATTTATTCAATGAGGGTGGGTAATTATCAAGGATAGAACTGATAACGGTATGGATAATAAACATTGACAATTACGTCATTAGCTTTACTAGTGTGTTTACTTTTTATATTCCTGCTATAAGTGACCAGTTCTTTTTTTCAAATGAATGTTATTTGAACCGAACAGCTGTTTCAAAACCAACTGTTATTGTTTTTACGTTTCTTTGTTTTCGCTTATTTATTTAGCAATTAATGCAGTGAAATTTATATAAAAGATAGGTGTGACGATTAGTTTTGATGTTAGGACACCAAAGTTAAATTATGTGTACTGTGAATTTTATTGGATATTATTGTTTTATTTTAGGTCTTTCTATTTAGACCTACTGGAAATTGTGTATAGTAGTTGTATTGTGGTGATAATAATTATGGAAGAGGCAGGTATGCTATGGAAGGTGGTATCGTTGACTAGGTCTATACACTTCTCAATTGACTATTACTCTCTCTACTGTAGGCAACTTATAATCAGTGTGCGTCTGTGCGAATCGGCTGCAAATCTCACTTCAACGCTTTTCATCGTAGCGTTCTTTTTGCATCGTAAAAATTGCAGAATTACTGTTTTTTTGTAACATTATTGGATTTAAAATACATTTCGTATAGGCCTATGATGAAATAAAAACATATTTGGTCACACAACATTTGATTACAAGATGATTTTTCACATTAACACTGCAAGAAACTTACAAGAAACTGTATTTATATGTGTAAACTAGCTGATCTGAATTGTACACGGTTTTATTAACTGACTACTGAATTCCCGTACGTAGGACGGGCCTAACACCTCGTTATTGAATAAAAAAAAAAATACTTTAGTTATACTTTGTAAAGTATCACTACATTAAATTTTAATCAACTGTTATATTTATTTATTTACTTTTGTTGATGTTTAAGATTTTCATTATTATTTAACTCTATTCCAACTGTAGCTACACCGTAATGGGCACAGAATCAGTCGGTATCTCACACATTCTTGGGGATTATAATTATGTAATTAATGTTTACAAGAAAGGCAATGGTGATATGAAAATTTCATTTTTAAAGTATCTTTTATCACATAAAGAAAGAATCCACTTTTTAGACGATTCGTTGACTAACATACGTGGCGAGTCTTGTTTACCTTTTTAATGTTATCTCGCAAATAACGTCATAGCAACCTATTACATACATACGCTACAACATACACTTGTAAATTTAGTTACCCATCCTTCATAATGTAATGACGTATTTAATGTGTATTATGATAATTAAATGCCAGAAACTGAGTATCTAAATCCCGTAGGCCTAAACTGATGCCTAAATATCGTACAAACACCAGACGGCCCGCTGCCAGTCGCGGGAGACATTTTTGTTTACAAATATAAATCCGTTTAAAAAACACCTTTGTTCGCGCTATAAATCTGTAATAGTGGTGTTATTTCTTGTGTCACGACAAACAAGATGGTATTTTGAATGGAATTTTTAGCGTCTTATTAACGATGTTAGCATACGTTTTAAAAATTAACAGCAGCATAAAAACTATTGCGAGTAAAAATTTTACAATGCATGGAAATGTAAACAACAAACCTACCAGTAAGCCATAACAATTTCAGAAAGATTGGCTCAGTGATTTGTTTACAATTAAATTTTAAACTTCAGTGTTAGTGCAGAGTTTCTTAAAAACCGGTACTTTTTAGGATCTTTCAACTATATACATTTTTCTGGTAAACGGATTTTTTTTGTTATTACCACGTAAAATTTATTTAAACCAGCTTATATTTTATTTTTTTTCAACAAACTCGGATAATTCATCTAAGAGATATTTAGGCTCAAATTCGAGTGCACATATTTATTTCCCCGACAGTAGCCGGCTGAGCTCCTAGCGCCAATGCCGCGCCAAGCGATTTTATGCCCATTTTTAATCGCTTAAAAATGATACAAGCAAACCCCGTATCAAAAAAAGCTTCATATAAAAAATAAAATTCATACTTTAATCTAAAACTATGACGCAGGAATTTTTTTCCTGACCAAAAAATAAAAAAGTTCCTCGCTTACTACATTTTTCATGTTTTTAGTTGTGTTAAAAAACGATCATCAGTTTTAATTTGCCCAAATAAATTATAAAAAATATGTTTAGGTTAAAACAAACTATACAGTAAGAAGCACTGTCTTTTCCAGAAAATAAAAATAGAAATTTGAAATTTTTATGTCGGCAAATAAGTGAAGCAGGGCAGGTTGAGTGAAAGTATGTTCGTGTAAAAGACAGAGGTTCATTCGGCCCGTCCGCCTCGGTATCCCACCAATTCGACTGGTGGGCACGGACCGTTTTTCCACCACACAGCGCGCTATCAAGTAGAGTATTATACCATGGTCTGACCTTGACTAATTGCGTACGTTGTGCACTAGTGTAGTTGACAACTAACAGTTCATACTCAATGTCAGTTGACAATCAATGTCAACTAAATAAATAAAAATACTTCATTCCACATTTAATTCCACTAACTTTACCTTCCCCGTAGCAGCAAACCTAAGCACTCGTTAAATCTAATGTTATTTAAATAGGAATAAGTTTGTCTTACTTATGGAAGTATTTTAGTAAAAAATACTGTAATCATACAAGTTGAAATTCGCTTAGTGAATAGTTTTGCTGCGACAGGGTATTTTATTTGTAGACCCGTGTTATGACTTGTAGTGAATTTGAACTTGAAGTTGAATGGCTGAGTGGTCAATAGTCTAGCTAGAACATTTGAGGTATCAGATCAGGGCCGATTTACCGAATAGGCACGGTAGGCACGTGCCTAGGGCGCGAGGCAATTGGCTTTTTTGGGGGCGCCAAAAATTTGGAAATAAAAAAAAAATTCTTGGTAGTATTTGCATGCTATTGCGGTAAACTTCTGATAACCCCTCGCGGCCATGTACGCATCGTATTCGTCCCGCGTTTGTGGCAAGATTCTTACTATTTTCTGCAGTCAGGTCGTTTGTACATAAAATTGTCTTCCATGATCGAGGCAATATATGAACATATCCCGCGGTCGTGAGGAGATTATCATCGTCTACCGAAAATGAGGCAAAATTCTGATATTTCTTCGCGGTTGTGAGGACATTGTCCTCGTCTTGCGCGATCGCGGTCAAATTCTGACCACCCCTCGCGGCCGTGGAGACATCTTATCGTCCTCCGCGGTCGTGTGGACATAGTAATCACCTCCCGCAATTGTGGCAAAATGGTAATCATCTCCCTCGATCTTGTGGAGATTATCATCCTCTTACGCAAATTAGGCAACATTTTGACCTTTTCCCGCGATCGTGTGGCCATTATCATCGTCTTGCGCGATTGCGATAAAACTCTGATCACCCCTCGCGGCCGTGAAGACATTATTATATCGTCCCCGTCGGTCGTTTGGACATAGTAATCGCCTCCCGCGATTGTGGCAAAATGGTAATCATCTCCTGCGGACATATGGAGATAATCGTCTTCGGCGAATGAGGCAAAATTCTTATCTTTTCCTGCGGTAATTTGGACATTATCATCGTCTTGAGCGATCGCGGCATTATTGTATTCCGCGTTTCTGTAGACATCGTAATCGTTTCACGCAGTTGTGAAGACATCGTTATCGTCTCCCGCGATTGCGGTAAAATGATAATAATGTCCTCCAGTTGTGTGGAGATCATCATCGTCTTCTACGATCGCGGCAAAATTCTTGCGGTTTCCCGCGGACGTGTGGACATTATCATCATCTTCCGTGATCGCGGCAATATTCTGATCATCCCTCGTGGCCGTGTAGAAATTTTATTGTATCACCCGCGGTCCTGTAGATATCGTACGTATCCCGCAGTCATGAATCCATAGTAATCGTCTCCCGCGATTGCGGCAAAATTTTAATCATGTCCTGCAGTTTTGTGGAGATCATCATCGTCTTCTGTGATCGCGGCAAAGTTCTTGCGGTTTCCCGCGGTTGTGTGGACATTATCATCATCTCCCGTGATTGTGGCAATATTCTGATCATCCGTTGCGGCTCTGTAGATACCATTATCGTCTTCTGCGATCGCGAAAAATTCTGATCATCCCTCGCGGCCGTGTGTAGACATATTATTGTCTCCCACGGTCACGGAAACGTCACTGTTGTCATGCGCGATCACGGAAAATTGAAAACTCCAGGTAGAAATACAAAATTCACGGTTCAAAAATCTCCCACATGATTCCCGGTCGGTGTACACCCTGTTATATATATAATATATTGCAAAGGGGCGCTACTATTAGACGTGCCTAGGGCGCTGACAGGGTCAAAAACGGGCCTGTATCAGATTCAAGTCCCCAACTTGGAGGGGTTAATTACAAAAATTTAAAAATGCTGTTTTAATACAGTAGGCCTACTATTGAGTACTGGTTTTCTTAAAACACTTTTATTATGGTTGTTATTACAACAATCTCATACCCGACGTTTATAAACAAACTTATATTTTGGTAAAGTTTTAAAGCTGTATCTGTGCAAGCAAGTTGCGTTGGCTGAGTATAACTGTTTACAAAGAGGACAGTATACTCATATGTGTAAAAACGGCGACGACGCAAAGATAGAACAGAATCAACTGAGAGGAGGGGAAATATCGATCGATGGCTGTGGTGGGAGAGCCGACGACAGGTTGAGCCGTTGGCCGCATGGCCGCGCCACTGCACGGCGCCTTGAAGAGCGCTTGCAAGCCTTTCGAGTCTGCGTGTTTACATAGTTATCATTCAACTTTTTAGTAAACTAATTCCAGGTTCTTGTTTTTAAGAATCTACTATTGCAGGTTTTCCGTTTTTTATTATTTCTCTAAAAATTATTTTAATGTATTAAAGCTCATGATAAAAAACGCCTATTTTTACATTTTTCACCAACCTTTGAGCCCAACATTTTCTAAATTATCAAAATTTAAACAAACGGGAAACCTACAATAACATTTAACGAAAAATATGACACCAAGATCTTTTAAATCGGTTCACAATTGGGGCTACAATCAGGAAGAACTAAAACCATTACATTTGCTCGTGCCAGACGGGTAGAGCGCACCCTTAAGAAGTGTACGATTATTACAGATGGAGTGAAGTGAACGTGCCTCTATACACCGCCAAGGCCAGGGAACTGCTGGGTCCGTATGTGTCAGTGGCTGTAGACGCAGTGACGTCTCTCTCTCTACAAGTGATGGCTGCGGCCAGAGCTGCTGTTCAATATTGTGTGGACAAGAAACCAGTCGTGGAGCAATGGGTGAGTGTACAGCTGTCCGATAGCAGCTATGATCAACTGTGCGGTTTCCATGCCACTATTGGCTAGGTAAACTGTCATTTGCAATGTTACATGTCATTTTTAGACCATTCACTACATTCATTCTTTAGTTATATAATTATACTTCTTTTATTGTACCAAAATTCGCCATATAGCCTATTTAACTAAATTGTCAGAAAATTCATAGCAAATTTGAATTATATTATCCTTTAATCACCCCTCAGAAACCATCATCACATTTTAAAATATATTGTATATATTCAACAATTATTGTTAATAAAAACCTGTAACATGTAATTAAGTCCATAGTTGCAATAACACTTTTATCCAAAATTATTAATATAGTATAAATTATTTCTAAAACCCCAACATTAAATTAATATCCAAAAGCCTGATTATTAGTGCATGTGTAAGTGATGAAGAAAGAAGAGACAGCTGGCTTCAACAATGAACTTTGATCTTCCTGTGTGAAATAAAAATTTTCCTCCTTCTCAATTGGGACATGGCAGCATCAACACCTTAAATTCACTGAGGGTATAATCCCTAACATTTTAAAAAGTCAAATTGATTAAAATTATTTAACTGAACATTAACTTAATAACAGAAGAACAGTTTAGCTTTTATATATACATTTTTTTCATTGTACTGCCACCTCAAGATTTTATATAAATTGGACACTATTACTGAAGATCTGGTGAGAACTCTCCATTTTGTATAGGCTTAGCCTACCTTCAAGAAATTCAACTTAATAGACCTATTTTATTTACTTTCTGATCATCGAACCTAATAATTTGAATTCAAAAACTACTTTATTTTCATCAAGAATAATCCCAGAAAAACAATTTGAACAATAGACCTAAATTCAACTTTGATAATTTTTTCACCTAGTCTATTCATCGTTGGACTTATTTAATTTACCTATCCAAGCCTAAGAGCAATATCAAAATTATCCCATTTTTCATAATAATTGACATATTTTATTTCATAAATTAAATATTTGAAGATCTTTTTAGCCAGCCGAGTTCCCCTCCCTGAGATTTATGTAATTAAACTAAATTGTAAACTCATTGTTATGTTTTTACTGAGCTAGGCTAAACCAAAGATGGCGACCCTGTAACTTAACTTATCTGTTCATTTAAAATCCCATTCATCATTGTAATATATCTTATTCCTAGTTCATTAAATTTTTATTGTTAAGAAATTCTTCAGCTTAATCATTTGTCTTGCTATAAGTATATTTAATCTAGGCTGAACTTAGCAGTAAGTTAAAGGTACAAACCTGAACTAAATTTTATTAACTTAGTCTAAATTATTACAAACACGACACGCATAGTGTTTTCTTTTACATTAAACAAGTCTTGGAATAATATCTCAATGGATTGTGTACCATAGTAAAAGTACAGCATAACACACTTAGATTTTTTAGCGTAATGTAGATCAGAAGGATGTTAAGTTAAAAATGTATCCATTAATCATACTAAATCTCTTCTACAGTTGAACCTCGTTTGTACGAACCTCGATGAAACGGATTCATCGATAAGACAAATTTTTTTTAATCCCCTTGACACTTTCACATATGTCAATGCTAAAAAACACCTCTATACAACGTAGTAATTAAGTTAAAAACCTCCATTAGACAAATTTGTTTGTGACATGGGTTAGGACTGATTAACCTCTATACAACGAATATTCTTAGCACAAAACCTCTACAAGACGAACGTGACCTCTATAAGACTAATTTATCATAATCTTAACCTTCATAGTACGCAGTTTTCAAAACAAACAGAAGCTTGTCTCAACAAGAAACCACCACCCATCCCTCCTCCTTCCTCAGTCATTGTTTGGAGAAACCTTGGAGCGAGGAGAAACCTCTATAAGAAGAATAACAGCAGCATTAAACCTTGATAAAACGACCCTCTTTATTAAGAATACCTCTATAGTACAAATTTTTCCCGTACCCCTTGAAATTCGTTTTATAGAGGTTCAACTGTATATAGAAAATTATTCGTTTTTAAGCTCTACCTTAAAGGTTTTGGAGGAAATAGCAAAGTTTTATGTTTTGAATGTCAAAAATGGGGAAAAACTATTTTTATCCTCTTAAACCCCCATAAAACCCTGTCCCCATGGTTCAATCATGCTGGATTGCGAACCCGTTCAAAAATAAATATAGCCTGACACGTTTATGCCAAAATTTCATCAAAATCAAATAATTTTAACTCAAGTTATTGTGATAGAGGATGATTTTTAACAGATGGGTTTTTGGCCTACAGGTACATCAAAACAAAACCAAGTAGTAAATTGGTCTCGGGACCAGGTCTTTCCATGAGACCTAGGGTAATAGAATATTTCATGTATGGAAAATTCACTAAGAAAGTCGGAATTTAAAACTGAGACATAATATAGCACATTTTTCATATCTGGCTTATGAATACTTAATTTCAAACATCATAACATAGAAATACATATATTTAACTTATTGAACAAAATACATGGCCAACTTTATTCTATAAAAAAATTGTGATTATTGTATTGGCTGAGCTAGTGGCTAGCGCTCAAATTGTCAAATATGCATGACCTTCGTGTGTTGGTTTCAAGTCTGCAAAGTTATTCCTGACAGTTTCCTTTCTATGTCCTGTCTGAAATTTGTGTTGTTTCGTTTCCTGTCTACTCTTGTGTAGCCGGAAGCTTAAAGTGGAACTTGAGTAGAAATTCTGTAACAAATTCACCAAAAAATTTCAACCGCTGGGTTATTGAGGATCCAGTTTCAAGAGTTGAAACACCAACAAATTTAATGAATAGTCAATTTCATAGAACAGTTACTACGTTGTACATCTGTTTGGCAGGTTAACCAGTACGCGCCAGGACTTGCACAGACTGTCACGGTTTGGGCTCACAACTGCTGGGAACTCGTCAAACATTACGGGCTCCAAGCTGGAACTTTGGCGTTAAAATATCTCTCTGTATCAGCCGAATGGCTCAAAGAGAATGTTTTTGTGTAAGTACCGTACTCACTTTATTGGAATTTCAATTTTCACCATGTATGTAGAGCAAATTGTAATTGACTTGAAGTATGTGAAGTATTCAAGCATTTCATCCTAGTTTAAGATTAAGATTTTTTGGGTCGTGTGTCGTGATAAGTAACGTTGGAGTGTATTGAATTTCACTAAATGTTCCCTTAACCAGAATGTAAAAACTTGTATCCGTGTCCGCTTTGTTGAAATGCCAATTTAACGCCATTAGTTATTAAGAATAGTTGCAAAGAGATGCCCAATTTATGAATTTGATTCTGTACATTGAAAATCCCTTTGAGGCTGTAGTACATAAACAATAGTCTTCCAATGTCCGAGGCTTATATTGGCGTTGACAAACAAGCGTTCACATACAATAATCCATTGATGTTAAAGGACAGTTCTACATCCCAAATTGCATGGCGTGTTGTCCATGCTTGAACCTACAGCTCTTTCAAGTCATCATTATTCAACCACAGTAGAAGTTCAGTTTCCAGCCTCTCGACATGTACTAACAAATTTTGGAATTTGGACCACTTTTCCTTAAATATGTTTATGATTTTTATTCCAAAAATTACACTGACATAGTCACTAAACAACAACCGAAAAAATCGTAGCATAGCATTTTGTGCTGCCATAGTACTGGATGAGGAGCCAAACATTAAACTCCCACGTCCCTTGTTGTGCTTCACATCAAACCACTCTTGTTGCACAAATACAAAATAATTATTAGTCTCTGCTAATATAACATTTGCTTTCCAAAATCTTTACCTTTGGTCTTAATATAATTTGTATTATTCTTTAATTTAAGAAAGAAAACACCCTTCATTTGGTCAAATATTTTAAGTAATCAAAATAACCTATTACCGTAATGAGAATAAGATACCAATTCTGTTTCACATTACTACACAAACAAACCCCAACATTATCTTCAGCGTATCATATTCAGGATGCTAACTGTAAATCTTATTTTATTTAATGTTCTAATGTAATTATGTAGTAATAAATTACAAAAAAATAGCAAATTCAAAATTTACATTGTCTTGAAAATTCTTTTTCAGGGGAAAATTTTCTCCAGAAAATCTTCAGAGAGTTACTCTGGAGGCTCTAAACACCACTCAGGCTTTTGCTATTCAGACTATGTCCTGGATCAACAGCAAAATGGTTACAACCGGAGCTGAAAAAGTGTAACCGGCATGTTCGACGCCATCCCAACATGTTACGATGCCACGACGTCGCATCAAAATGATGCAACTGACGTCACAACTCTCACTACACGAGTCATTCCACAAGACTGCCTTAAGGTTTTGGATTTGCATTTCTACTTTTATTTTTACCACCTTGTATATTGTGTAATAAAGTTGTTTTGATTACCTTGTGTTTTGTTTTGTGGATAAATCCCTTTCTGACAGAAAAAAAACATAGAACGTGTTTTGCAATTGCAGGTATTAAAATATGTTTGCGTTTGCACGATTAGACAACCTCGACCGGGCAACATTTGTAGGCCTCCAAACATCGCTCGGTCAAGGTTGTCTAACTGTACCTAAGCAAACATGTTTAAAAACCTGCAATTGCAAAACACGTTCTATGTTTATTTCTGTGTGTGCGTGTGTGTTTATAAACTGTAAATAGTCGACAAACATCGTTCGATGTGAAGTACAAGAATGCTGCTGAAGATGAGCTGTAAGTAGCTCGAAACATGTACAGCATGAACTACATTTGACACCTTCCGGCAAAAGTAAGTAACATCTTACCTGTTGTAAAAATATTAAAGGTGTCAAGGTTGATTACAAAATTAATATAAAATTAATTTGCCAAAGTCAATGCAACGTAATGCAATTTTTTGGGTAGTCTACTTGCAGTATCCAAAGTCAATGGTCCATTTGGTTCACATAATGGATGTTTATTAGCAGACAAAGATTATGAAACAAAAGACTTGTAAAATTATGGCAATTTGCTAATATTTTGTAATTTACAACTTGTAACTTGTTAATTGGTATTTTCTTATGAAGCAGAATATCAGTTTTACAAATTACAAGACTAATATTCTGTTTCATAACAGGAAAATACTAAGTTACAAGTTGTAGATTACAAAATATTAGTAAATTTTCATAATTTTACGCGTCTTGTTTGAGCATTCTCAAATTAGGTCCAAACTTAAATTTATTTTAAATAAAATAAATTGTTGTTTTGTCATTTAAATAATAGATATTTAAATGTTTTGTGTGAAAATAAATAACTGCACTTTTTGGTTCAATTCAGAATAATATTTTAAGTGAGTTCATAAAATAAAATTGTATTAAGTTAAGCCAGACAGAGAGAGAGAGAGAGAGAGAGAGAGAGAGATAGGCAGACAATGCAGAGGAATGTGCTGCGTATCCTGCTTATCAGTTCCAGCCGACATGATATAGACTGAACAGTGGTTTTTCCTGTACACTGCTCCAACTCACTCAGTTACTATGCAGTCTTCAATGTGAATCAAACATTATGAGGGTCTCTGAATCCCTCTAACTTTTTTACTATGGGTCTCAGTATCCCATATTAAATCATCAACTATTGACTCTATTGTTTCTACAGAAGTTTTTTTTAACCGTGAGGAACATTCACCAGAAGTTTGTGTGCACACAGTGTTATATTTTATTTTCTCAAGAAGTGTTAATCTCCATTACTTGGTATTAACGAACATTCGATAATTTCTTCTCTTCGAGGTCGTGAGTACATCTCTACACATCATTCCTCTCTGTCTATTTCGATTTGGACTTAAATATCTCATCAAGAGAATAGTTTTGATTTTAATATTTTTGTTGTAAAGGGTTAATTTAATTTTGTATCATTATAATATTTTCTTAACTCAAATGGATTTATTATTTTTCCAGTAGTAACTCACTGTTTAGAAAGATCAATAAACTTGCTTTCTACTATTATATTAACAAATATCTATTGAACCAGCAATTATTCAGTTTGGTAGCAAAGTCAGGAATTTAATTTTTAATTCCCCTTTGTTCAAACATATTGTTCCTTCGAGCCGGATTAACTTAGTCATTTGTTAATAAATAAATAAATGTAAATTAAAATATCCTTTTAAAGAAACATTGAAGGTCATTATTTAAATAGTCAAAGTAAGGTTAATTGTATCTGAAGCAGTGTTTCCACACGACCAAAAAAATAATCCCGCTTACTGGGTCGAGAAATCCCGTTTTATCCCGCTTTTAAATCGGTGAAAAATCCCGTTTTATCCCGCATGATTTTTTTGGTACAATTCCTAGTATTTAACTTTACGTATCATTTTTATAAGTTGTTTAAACATCACTATTATATTTTGCTACAGTATTTAAACAATTTGAGTTAGTTTTTCTCTAAAATTGAGTAGAAAAAAATAAAAATAGTCGTCACATCCGAAAATCCCGTTTTATCCCGCATCCCGTTTTAATCCCGCTCAAGGTCTAAAAATCCCGTTTTCGGGATAATAATCCCGCGAATGGAAACACTGATCTGAAGGTTATTGTAGATTACAGTTGAAAATTTGTTTGTTTAAAGATAGTTATCATATAAAATATTTGGTATTCATTTTGTCTTAGATTAAATTTGATATTTAATTGTATAACGCTCATACATTTCTCCAGAATTGGATTTGTGATTTATTAATATTTTTAAGAGTTATTTGGGTTGTTTAGAGAATTTAATCTGAAAATATATTCTTCTGCTGAATAGTTTCTTAACACAAATAAATATTGCTGATTTATATTCTACAATCTTGTTCTATGTGCTACTGTAATATTATATAGGCTACAAGCATTATTGAATAATTTTGCAAATCATGATGTGAATTTTTTTATCTACTTTCATTCTGAATTAGTGGTATTCTTTGTTGATTTTTTTTACTATCTTGAAGTATATAGTACTTGTCATGTTCATACTTTTGTAAAGATTGCTCAAACATTTGTGCCTTTGATTATTTAAATTTTCTCTTGGTATTCAATTTCTGAGGGGAAAATGGATGCAGAAGATTTTAAGCGTAAGGTTTCTGCCTTGAAGAGAAAATTATCAGATAGTGCTAAGGAAGTCCAAACTATTAATGAGAAGGGTAGGGCAGCTCTCAAAGATCCTGCTCAAGTGAACTTATTCAAGGGTATGTTTAAGGTGTTAGAGAAATATTTTTCCAAATTTGAAACTCTTTGGGATGAACTTATTGACCTACATGAAGATGAAGGAAAGGTCTCAGAATTTCCTGTCGAAGCAGATCTGACTATGCAAACTAAGGCCAAACGTTATTACTACGAGGCACACACAAGCTATGAGGCACTTATGGCTCTTGTTCAGACAACATCACCTCCCTCACGCCAAAGCATTAATCCTAATGAATCAGTTGTATCATCTGAAAACAGATCAAATAAAATTTTACCTCGGATCAATCTGCCCCACTTCAACGGACAAATTACAAACTGGCCTAAATTCCGTGATGCATTCTTATCAATTATTCATAATGATGCTTTGTTGACTAAAATGGAGAAATTCCATTACCTGGTTTCCTCACTTGTAGGCACAGCTTCTGCAGTTATAAGTAACTTGCCATTAATAGAAGACAATTATGACTTGGCATGGAAGGCATTGAATGACACGTTTAATAATAAACGTATGCTAGCCTCTAACTATTTAAATCAGCTCATCCAGTTTAAGCCACAGCAAGGCAAACCTACCATTGATTCTCTACAGAATTTTGTATCACAAGTTTCAGACAATATTGCAGCATTTAAACTGCTAAAAATTCCAAATGAAGCAGATTTTGTATTGTTTCATATTGCTGTTCGATTATTAGATTCTGCGACCAGAGAACAATTTGAACTTCAACACAAAGATAAAGATTTTCCTGTCTTTGATGATCTTACGAAGTTTCTACGGGAACGATGCCTAGCATTACAGCTCGCCCTTGGAAATTCTCATCAATCGTCACATGACAATAACGCTGCGAAGCCTAGTGGCGCTATTAAAGGATATAATACTAGATCTTCTAGCCGTGGTATGCGAGCTACACTCTTGGCTAACTCACCAGGAAATAACATGCAATCGAAAGATAACAATAAAGGTTTCACATGCTTTCTATGCAACAGTGGTAGTCATACACTCTGGAGATGTAAAGATTTTATGAATGCAACAGTTGATGAGCGACACAAGATGTTAAGAAATTGGCATGGATGTAAAAATTGCTTGTATGCCAACCACACTATAGGAAAGTGTAACTCAAAGTGGACTTGTAAATTTTGCAAGAAGAGACACCACTCGTTACTACATATTCCAACCTCAGCTGATGAAGAACTGAAAGATAATGCTACTAGTGCACCAACTTCGTCTTTGACCGCAACTCTTCCTCAACATAGCAACATATTGCTAGGTACTGTAGTTGCTGAGATAAAAGATGCTTCCGGAAGATTTCAACCCATACGTCTAGTGATAGACTCAGGAAGTCAACATTCCTTCATAACTCACAAATGCCTCACCAAACTTGGTTTATCGACAACTCCATATCCAAAGAAGATATCGGCTATTGGCCAGACCATATTTGATGGTGCAAAAGGCAAAGCACTTTGTCATCTGAAGCCAAAAAATCAGGAATCCCCTATCCTCAAAACAGAAGCTGTTGTGATCAACAATATTACTTCATACCTACCCAACTTCACTATGCCTTCTAACTTATGGTCGGAATATACCAAATTTGAACTAGCAGACCCTAAGTTTTGGGAACCTGGACCTATTGAGTTTTTATTGGGCTCTGACTTGTTTCCAGATGTTTGGCTTGGATCTTCGATTACTCTTCATGAAAACCAACCCAAGCTGTTTGCATCAGTCTTTGGCTACATTGCTATTGGGAGAGTTCTTGACTGTCAATCATCCACTAATATGAATGCTTCTTTCTTCACCCTTGCTTATGATAAATATGATATTCATAATCAGCTGCAACGATTTTGGGAACTCGAGGAACCTGCTTCTATCCCAGTCAAAGAAAACCCAGAAGATTTAGCTTGTGAAAAGCATTTTACAGAGACTCACTACAGACTTGAGAGCGGCCAGTACGTTGTTCGCCTACCGTTTAAAAGTGAGCCAAAGCATCTTGGTGACTCTGAAAGAAATTCTCTGAAAAGACTATACAGTCTAGAAACAAAACTGACAAAGAATTCTCTACTTAAGTCTGAATACTGCAATTTCATGAAAGAATACCTTGAACTGGAACACATGAGCCCCACATCATCTACTTCAAAATATGTGATCCCACACCATTCTGTCACTAAAGAAGATCGCTCACAGATTAAGCTCAGAGTAGTATTTGATGCTTCTTCCCTTACTGACTCTAACACGTCTCTAAACAACCATCTTATGATAGGCCCAAAGTTACAGCAAGACATAAAAGGTATCTTGACAAGATTTAGGATGTATCCAGTAGTTTTTGTGGCTGATATAATAAAAATGTACAGGCAGATTTTAGTTCATCCCTCTGATAGGGTATATCAACACATTTTCTGGAGATTTGATCCTTCTGAAGCTATTCAGAAATATGAACTGAATACAGTAACGTATGGTACTACCTCTGCACCTTTTTTAGCCTTGAGAGTCATGAAACAGCTAGCAACCGATGAAGGGACTGACTATCCACATGCAGCAAAGGCTATTCTTCAAGACATGTATGTCGACGATCTTGTCACTGGTGCTTCTACTGTTGATGAAGCCTTGAAACTCAAGGATGAAGTAATCAATCTTTTACACAAAGGTCATTTTGGTCTAAGTAAATGGGCCAGTAACTCTCAGGAAATTTTAAATGCAATCAATCCTTCAAAACATATCAAACAGATCAACCTCTCATCTAGTGAAGATTCAAATGTCAAGATCCTAGGACTTCAATGGAACCCTTCAAGCGACACGTTTGCATACCAGATTGAACAATTTACCCCTGTGTTTACTAAAAGGGCCATCCTATCAGCTGTTGCAAAGATTTTTGATCCTCTAGGATTCGTTTCTCCTGTGATAATGATTGCAAAGAGCATAATACAAAGCCTATGGAAATTGAAGCTGGACTGGGATTCTGAAATCCCAACTAACTTGAAGACTCTATGGAATGATTTGACTACTCAGCTAGAGAAACTGCAACATCTTAGTATTCCAAGATTTGTAACATCTGACAAACCATACAAATTGCAAATAGTAGGATTTGCTGATGCTTCCGAAAAAGGATATTGTGCTGCACTGTATCTGAGAGTTATTAGTGACAAAATAACTACAAACCTTCTAACAGCCAAAACTAAGTTAGCCCCGATCAAGACACTATCTATCCCACGCTTAGAGTTGTGTGGAGCCTACCTGCTTGCAACAATGTTCCACTGTGTTATGGAAACCCTCAGCCAATTCGCCAGTAATCAGTTTCAGAAGCCTATTTTCTTCACTGATTCTTCAATTGTCTTAGGATGGCTGAATACACCAACTTACAAGCTTAAAGTTTTTGTAGCAAACAGAGTTGCACATGTTTCAGAACATACTCCTGTTTCATCGTGGAGACACATTAAATCAGAGGAAAATCCTAGTGACCATGGTTCTAGAGGACTTTTACCAGATAAACTAACTAACTGTGATCTATGGTGGCATGGCCCTAAGTGGATGAATATGCCTGAAGATAAATGGCCAGAGTCTACAGTACAGTTCCAGCAGCAGCCCCTACCTGAAGTGAAAGCTGAACCACAAGTGCTTGTCTCAAATAGTACTGAGCCAGAGCTTATCAAGATGATGGAAAACTATTCTTCATACTACAAACTTTTACGTGTAATATCTTGGATCAGAAGATTTATCTACAATTGTCAAGCTAAACTACACAGTACTAGTCGTCTGAAAGGACCCCTTCAGCCTAAGGAAATTCAAGAGTCCTTACTATCCTGCATCAAGAAAATTCAATCACACTTTTTCTCTATTGATGGCGACAGAAGATGTGCAACTGCTGTCCTCAATAAGCAGTGACGTAGCCAGGGGGGGGGGTCCTGGGGGTCCGGACCCCCCCCCTTCTGGTCTTAAATATAATATCTTTTGTTAAATTAAATGTAGAATTAATAATCGTACTGTATTGACGTTGGGGTTGATTATTTTCAATGCCAACAGAGCTAAAAAAGAACGTTTTAGGGTCTATATTTTTAAAAATTTTCCCGGACCCCCCCCTTTACCTGGACTCCCCGGTCGGTCGACCCCCCCTATTTTGAAATCCTGGCTACGTTACTGCAATAAGTTTCATAAACTTACCCCTTTCTTTGACAAACTGGGGATACTCAGGGTGGGCGGCAGGCTAAATAATGCAGCTATCCCAGAAGATCAAAGACACCCAATCCTTCTGCCAAAGTGTCATTTCACCTTATTGTTGGTAGATTATTACCATAAAATCTACCTACACCCAGGACCCAACTTGCTTCAAGCTCTGATTCAATTACGATTTTGGATACCATCACTGAGAAATATTGTCCGTCAGCGAACCTTCAAATGTCTAAGGTGCTTCAAGCTAAAGGCTGAAACCTTTTCCCCGATGATGGCTGATCTTCCTTCGCCACGAGTGAATGTAAGCCGAGCATTTTTACATGTTGGTGTTGACTTTGCTGGACCTTTGACTATGAGAGAGTCGTTAAGAAGAAAAGCAACCACTGCCAAGACTTACATCTGTGTTTTTGTCTGCATGGCAACTAAAGCCTTGCATTTAGAGCTGGTAACCGCACTCTCAACAGATGCCTTTATGGCTGCTTTCAGACGTTTTATTTCTAGAAGAGGTCTTCCTGAACAAGTGTATTCCGACTGTGGAACCAACTTCAGAGGAGCAGCTAATCGTCTTCGAGAGTTAGGATTATGGTACTCCAATCAGACTACACAAGAAGAAATTCTACAGCAAACTACTAAACTGGAAGTAAAATGGAATTTCAATCCTCCCTATTCCCCACACTTTGGTGGACTGTGGGAGTCGGCAGTTAAATCAACAAAGACACATTTGAGGAAGATAGCTGGAGAAACTGCTTTGACTTATGAAGAGTGGTCAACCTTGCTCACCCAAGTAGAAGCAGTTCTGAATTCAAGACCACTTTGTCCTTTGTCAGCTAGTCCAGAAGAAACTAATTTTCTTTCTCCAGGACACTTTCTTGTTGGATGCCCTCTTGTTGCTCCTCCCGAACCTTCTCTTCTTGATCTTCGAGAAAACGTCCTTACAAGATGGCAACTAGTCCACAAGATGGTTCAACATTTTTGGAAGAGGTGGCGAGTGGAATACTTGAACATCCTGCAAGCGAGAGGAAAATGGACAAGATCTTCTACAAACCCTAAAATCGGAGACTTGGTTCTTCTTAAGGATCAAAATGTACCTATCTTGCAGTGGCCTCTTGGAAGAATCATCAAGACTCACCCAGGCAGTGATGGAATTGTTCGAGTGATGACTGTCAAGACCAGTGACTCTGAATTCCAACGTCCAGCTGTGAAATTGGTACCTCTTCTTTCAATCAATTCTGACCCTTTTAAGTAAGATGCTAGAAATTTCCTTTGAAATTTCGGTGGGCGGTATGTTTGAGCATTCTCAAATTAGGTCCAAACTTAAATTTATTTTAAATAAAATAAATTGTTGTTTTGTCATTTAAATAATAGATATTTAAATGTTTTGTGTGAAAATAAATAACTGCACTTTTTGGTTCAATTCAGAATAATATTTTAAGTGAGTTCATAAAATAAAATTGTATTAAGTTAAGCCAGACAGAGAGAGAGAGAGAGAGAGAGAGAGAGATAGGCAGACAATGCAGAGGAATGTGCTGCGTATCCTGCTTATCAGTTCCAGCCGACATGATATAGACTGAACAGTGGTTTTTCCTGTACACTGCTCCAACTCACTCAGTTACTATGCAGTCTTCAATGTGAATCAAACATTATGAGGGTCTCTGAATCCCTCTAACTTTTTTACTATGGGTCTCAGTATCCCATATTAAATCATCAACTATTGACTCTATTGTTTCTACAGAAGTTTTTTTTAACCGTGAGGAACATTCACCAGAAGTTTGTGTGCACACAGTGTTATATTTTATTTTCTCAAGAAGTGTTAATCTCCATTACTTGGTATTAACGAACATTCGATAATTTCTTCTCTTCGAGGTCGTGAGTACATCTCTACACATCATTCCTCTCTGTCTATTTCGATTTGGACTTAAATATCTCATCAAGAGAATAGTTTTGATTTTAATATTTTTGTTGTAAAGGGTTAATTTAATTTTGTATCATTATAATATTTTCTTAACTCAAATGGATTTATTATTTTTCCAGTAGTAACTCACTGTTTAGACAGATCAATAAACTTGCTTTCTACTATTATATTAACAAATATCTATTGAACCAGCAATTATTCAGTTTGGTAGCAAAGTCAGGAATTTAATTTTTAATTCCCCTTTGTTCAAACACGTCTTAAAATTAATCTTTACTTCTTTATTATTTAAGGACAAAATATTTGTAAATATTAATAACGAGGAAAGACCTACAAACATATTTATGATAACCCAACCTACCATAACCGCTGCAGCACGCTGTATAAGGGTGGCTTCCGTTTCAACTCAATTCTCGCTGACATCGCTGCCTTCTGTGAGGCAGAACTCTTCTGTGAGGGGGAGAAGGCCGCTAATGGTAATCATGTCAAATTTGGACAGTAAGTCAATTAAAATATCTTCTTTCCAATCATGTAGTTATTTTTGGTCTCCGTTTAAAAAATCCCTCTAAAATAAGTGGATAATACCAAAGTACCGATTCATACCACACACTATCACCTGGTTTTATAGTCTCAGTTCACACTTGTTCTTACATGCAACATTGAAAATAAAACAGTGTGTAAAACCTATTTAACGAATGAGCGTTTGTGATGACTTTACAATGGTGTTTAGTATGGCAATAGTAACATCTAATATTACCCAATAATTCAGTTTGATGTTCTATTAGCGAATTTCCCATATAGGGAATAAGCTATTACCGTAGTACTCATGGTAAGACCTGGACGCGGGACCGATTTTTTTTTTCGTTTTGAGGTCCCTAGAGGCCAAAAACACCATCCGTTCAAATTCATATATATATATATATTTATATAAATACTAGCTGTAACCCACGGGATTTGCCCCGTTTAACTTCTTAATTTTCAAGATGATCTCGTTCGCATGGCTCAATCGCGTCTTGACGTCCTGGTTGAAGTTCGTTCGCTACGCTCACTGACCTTTTGGTTGCAAATTAGCTGTTGTCATAAATGTAAAAGATATAATAGTGCTGCAACCTGTTGGTAATCCTTGAAAATTTAATGCTATTGAACATCATAGAACAGAACCAACTTGTTTAATTGAAACAGCTGTTAAGATTCATTAATTCCATTTAAATACGAGTACTCATAAGGTTAACATGGGAAACTCCAGAGCCACTGGGGCGGAGCTCGAGAGTCCGATCACAATAAAAACAGCTTAGTTTTCCTATTTAATGCCTATTTAATCAGTGTACCAAATTTCAGCCTCCTAGGTAAATGGGAAGTAAGAGAATTAGTGATGAGTGAGTGAGTGAGTGAGTCAGTCAGTGAGGGCTTTGCCTTTTATATATTTAGATATACTAGTTGCTCTGCCCGTGCTTCGCTACGGGGTTAGAATGCAGAAAAGAATATTTCGGTTTTACTTTAAGATACTATAATATACTATGAGAAACAGTTACAACACACTTACCAAAAAACATGGACAAAGGCTCAATCCTGCTTATTGATTATTTAAATTAAGATCTCTGTTTAATGTATTACATTACTATCATTTTATATAGTGTATCGCATTTAAAATATATGTAAAAGTATAATTCATTGAACACATGGCACCAAGAAACAATTCTCCTTGTAAACAAATCAAATTAAATAGCAGAACAGCATTTCTAACAACAGCTGGAGTTTCATAACAGTGTGTGTTTCCCATGTTAATCTCATGGAGAAATACGAAACTTTAAAGGGCACCCAGGCCTCACTCTCTAATTATTTCCCTAAAAATAAAGTTTCCTGCACAACTTCACGTTACGCTCTTTCTAATGACACAAAAAACATGTCAATCGGTACAGTAGTTTCGGAGGAGTAATTGTCACAAAAAACCTGCTTGCGTATTAAATAAGTATAGATGTGTCCGTCAGCACGATAACTCAAGCAAAAATGATCCGATTTTGATGAAATTTGGTACAAACGTGTAAACGTACGTTTATTCGATCGAGTTCGCGATCCAGCATGATCGGACCATGGGAACGGGGGTTTACGGGGGGTTTTATGGGGTAAAAATAGGTTTTTCCCATTTTTGAACCAAAAAACATAAAATTTAGCAATTTTTTTCCAAACCATTTTGTAGAGCTTGAAAAAACAAATTATTTAGTATATTGAAGCGTTATTATGCGCCTAATGGTTACGGAGAAAATTCCAAAAAATTGTAAATTTAAAATTCCCATGTTATTCTTATGGAGAATAAGTAAACTGTTGTAGTTTGCTTGTTTGTGAACATATTTTGATCAAATTTGGAAAATGTTTTTATTTCTTACTAACTATTCACATTTTACAAAAAAAAACAGTTTTACCCTCCCTGATGCAGCAAACCTAAGTACTTGTTAAACTAATTCTATTTAATTAAATCAAGATGTTATATTTTTAAGTAGACATTTCAGTGTAAATCCAATCAGTCAAATGGAAATTCGCTTAGTCTGCAGGTTTGCTGCGGCGGGGGTATTTTAATATAATGTAGGAATTTAATGCTAGTCGAAAATTATTACTAATTAAGTAAAAGCCTATTTCAAAATTAAACAAATCAACAAGCCTAAATTAATAGTTATTCACTAGTAGTTGGAAACAAATTTTTTCTTCTTTAATCTGCTGGACCTGTTTCGTTTGAAAACAGTTTATAAAGCCTAATTTAGATGATTTGGAATTTTACAGTCTAGGCCTAATAAGCTAATACGGTTGAAATTGTTTCTTTGCAGTTTGGAGTGTAGGTACAATAATTAAATGTTAGTGTGTCAAACGTGTGTGAAAATGTTACAACTATATATTTATTACCTCTATTTAAATTACTTTGTGAATTACCTGTTGAATCTTGTATACTTATTTGTTACGTGATTTGTCTATGGATATTTTTTGTAGAATAGTAGCCTATTTAGGATTTGTGATAGATAGTAGATTTTGTAGTATCGATTTTCTTGCACTTACTTAGTCCTGTGACCTGTTGTGAGTCTTCTAATTTCTCTTTTCTCAAGGCCTAAGTTTTTTTTTTATCTTATTTGCTTGAAAGCAGGCTTATATTATATGCAGCCTCGTTGTGCACTAATTTATTTGACGATTCTGTGGTTTTCATTTAGAGTTTGGTGAGTTTTTGTTAGTATTGACTTGGAATTGTTGAGGATATTGTTTTAGTTTGGTGGTCAATTTGATTTTGTTTTGTTTTTTTGTCAGATAATAGATGGGATTTAGTAGGATTCTAAGGCCATGAAAGGATAGTTGGGAGAGGGGTTGGGTTGGAGTCTTCTCGCTTGAGGGCTGTCAAGCATTTCTATCCCGAAAAGGAGGCCCATGGATGAAGAACCCAAGGATTGGAATGAATTATGTGAGTGTTTGTGTTTGCGGGTTTTGTTTTTTGTTTAAATTGTTCTCTTTATGTGTATGAGGAAATCTATGATTTCTTGATATACTGTGGAGTCGTTAGTTCTGAGAATTTCTTGCAGATAGTTGGAGCTGTTACATTTCTGTATTATCTTCTGTGTTGATTTAAAACATCTATTCCTGGCCGATTCATGTGCTGGGCATACAATAATCAGGTGTTCTACTGATTCATTGCGGCCCATTGTGCAGTTAAGACAGAGTGGCGTAAAATACTTTTACCTACGACCGTTTTTTAAAGTAGCCATTTCAGTCCAGTTCTTAGAATTGAAAAGTTTCACTTTACAGCTGTTTACTTTCATATCCGCATAGTTTCATTTCATATCCGCATAGTTTTCTCATATCCACACAGGTAACGGACCAATGAGGTTCAAGTATTGAGAGAAAAGAATTAAAATTGTAATGCTTCGAACGTCAACTAATCAGCTGATCAGCTGATCAGTTGACCAATTTAATTGTTGATCCGACTTGTTCATGTTGATACTCGCATATTCTTAATTAAGTTGATGGAAGTCCAAAAATAAATGAAATATTTGCCGAATTGTACCTGATACAATATTATTTATGGTAAGAATGCTGCTAGCAATGTAATATTTAACGAAGTTTAACAACACGTAATATTACAGGAAATCAGCTGATTATACAACAAGTCGTTGCATCACTCTCAGTGGCAATGACAATACACGAAAACATAACCTCTCTAAAAAGTTATCAGTAGTTATCGTTAGTAATTAAATCCAGATTGATAGTAATTAAAAAACGGTCGTAGGTAAAGTAGTGTACGCAACTCGCGTTAATAGTCTTTACGACACTCGTAGAAGTTTTTAAGGCACTCGCCAAGGCTC